CTTTGGTTGATCACAATCTACATAATTACATAAGTGAGGCCAAAAATGCATAATTACACGATCAAGTAGTGGTTAACTACTTAATTACACGAAAGGGATTTTCTTAAATGACCTCAAATTTTTATATAGCCATCGAGAGTGGTTAATTACTTAATTACAAGATTCTGTATTTTTCTTGTTTTTTGTTTCTCTTTATTTTAAGAATCCAAATAGGCCCTCGAAAACTTCCCCTTTAAAAGCAGGACCTCTCGCGATAGAGCACACGAATCCAACGGCCCATATTAAATCTTGTCTCCAAATTTCACTCTTTTCCTCTAAAACGCATTCATTTATCGGAATCGACTCGTCAAGAAGCGTTCTCTTTTTCTGTTGATCGAATCGAATCGAATCTCAGATCTCTCTCTCTCTCTGTGTTCTTGTTTGTTTGCTTTGAATCGATTATCGAAGAAATGGCTTCTGCGCGTGAGGAGTTCGTTTACATGGCCAAGCTCGCGGAGCAAGCGGAGAGGTACGAAGAGATGGTGGAGTTCATGGAGAAAGTCTCCGCCGCCGTCGACGGCGACGAGCTCACCGTGGAGGAGCGAAACCTACTCTCCGTCGCTTACAAAAACGTGATCGGCGCTCGTCGTGCCTCGTGGCGTATCATCTCGTCGATCGAGCAGAAGGAAGAGAGCCGCGGCAACGACGACCACGTGGCGGCGATCAAAGAGTACAGGTCTAAGATCGAGACGGAGCTCTCCGGAATCTGCGACGGAATCCTCAAATTGCTCGACTCCAGACTCGTCCCCGCCGCTGCTTCCGGCGACTCCAAGGTCTTCTACCTGAAAATGAAGGGCGATTACCACAGGTACTTGGCCGAATTCACGACTGGTCAGGAGAGGAAAGACGCCGCCGAACACACTCTCTCCGCCTACAAATCTGCGCAGGTAATCTTCGATTTTCTCCCTTTTCACAATCCACAATCTCAGATCTAGTTTATGTGGAATTTTGTTTGCGATTTGTGGATTCATTAGGCTTAATTACTTGCATCAAGGATTTGGGATTAGATTGGATGATTTAGGGATTTGAATCGTCGTGTACAAGATGTTGAGCTTGCCTGGGTTTTCGATCTTGAGCCTTTGTTAACGATTGATTGTGACTCTCTATTTGCAGGATATTGCGAATGCAGAGCTCGCTCCAACACACCCAATCCGTCTGGGTTTGGCATTGAACTTCTCTGTGTTCTATTACGAGATCCTCAATTCTCCTGATCGTGCTTGCAACCTCGCCAAACAGGTATTTGAATCCACTATCACTCTCCAAAACCAACATTTTTGGCTTGCTTAGCTCATGAAAGCAAACTCATAAGATCAAATCATACTTTGCTATATGCTATCAGTTTTATTCATCTCAACGCTTTGCAGATACATGGATTTGACTGTAGTTTTTGTGTGTGTTTGTTGTTGTTGCTGTGTGTATCATCAAGGCTTTCGATGAAGCGATTGCGGAACTGGACACTCTTGGTGAAGAGTCGTACAAAGATAGCACCTTGATCATGCAGCTTCTCCGTGACAACCTTACTCTCTGGACATCTGACATGCAGGTCTGATCCATATACAATCCTTTCTTCTAATTGTTGCATTTGTTTCATGAACTAAATTCTATGTTGGTGGTGGATCAAATTAGGATGATGCTGCGGAGGAGATCAAGGAAGCAGCAGCTCCAAAGCCGACTGAGGAACAGCAGTAACAGTCTTTTGAGTGTGAGCCTGCTAGTTTCTAGGGTTTCTCTACTTCGTCTATATGTCAAGCTTGCTTATTCATTCATCATATTTCTGGCAAAGTCGAACCATCTATCATCTCTCTTTTGCTTGATTGTCTCTCTCTTTTTTGTTCAACCTTTTTTTTGGTTATCGATAAGTGTCTGCAGTCGAACCTTGCTTTGTGTTTTCTCATCAATTTGAAAATCATAAAGGCTCTTATCTTGTGGCGTAAATTGTTTTCAGTTTTATAAAAATGGAGAATTAGTTTATTGGATTGTGTAAAGCGAATTACTTTATCTGAAACCAATTATCAAACTGAATTAGAAGATACCTTTCAAAAGAACCAATAAACTATACACACTCGTTAGTGGAATTGCATGTATAAAAATAAAGGGAAAAGAGAAACTCAAAAATGATCTTGTCAGGGTTGAAGTTTCAACGGAAAATGAAAGCATCAGAGCAAAAATTCAACCAAAGCAACAGTGAAGTGATTGGCATCCCTATCCAATACCATTTGCCAACGAACGAATCAATCAAATGATTAAATATCCAGTTGAATAGACGATCAACTGTATGGAATTTGATCTAACAAACTTGTAAGAAATCAAATAGAGTTGCAATTTGCAAAAGTGTATTCCTTTCTTTTTCCTAATTTTTGTTTCTAACATGAACAAACCATGGAACAAAAGAAAGTAAAAAGATTTGAGTAATTTGAGTTTTGAAAAAAACGAACAAATCATCCACCACTAATGATGTACAAAAAGAACAAAGTGAATTTCCGTCGTGACGGTCAAACGACGACGTTCTCAAACTTTGACCGATCAATGACCTTTGTATTTAGGACTAGAAAGCGGCACCGTCGTCGGAGATACCGGAAACCCTAATTGACCTGACGTCGGCGATAAAAGTATGCTCGGAGAGAGTAATCCGTACGGGGATTTGGGCGAATTTAGACATCCGAATGGTGGAGGAGCCGGAATCGATGTCGGCGCCGTCTGAGAGACTGTTCCCGTAGCCGCGGGAGGGTGAGGAGGTTGTGGAGGCAGACCGTTGTTTTGCGGCGGAGGAGCGTTTTCCTGCTGTTGCTGGAACCAGCGAGGTGAGACCAGAGGAGCTAACGGCGATAAACCAGAGAACTCTTTCCGATTCGAATCGATCGCGAACATCGAGTTCTGAAGGTAACGCATGTAAGAAGAGACCGGCGATTCCGCCGCCGCGTGAACCGGAGGTAGCGGTGGGAGAGGAGAAAGCGGCGCAGTCGGTCGGGGAACAAATCCGCCGGTCCAGTTATGATGATGATGAGCACCTGGAGGGATAAGAGCGTCATTTAGCAAACTAGGAGGGCGATTGATAACGTGAGCCAACGGAGGAGGACGGATCCTGTGTAGACGCGAGCTCTGTTGAGGCTTAGGCTGGTGAATCGGCTGCTGCGGCGGAGCAGAGATCCGTTCATGCGCAGGAGAGCCGGTCAGTTTCTGAACCACATCCCTGAAATCGTTTTTGTTGATGTTGTAGACCGGAGGCTGATGCTGATGGAGATTCCCCTGATTAAGCGGCGGCAGCGGAGGAGGAGGAAGAAATGATTGGTGATCAAATTCTCGATTCACGGCGGAGGCGGCAGAGGAAGAGTTTGCCGTCGGTTTGGATATCTTATGAGAGAGCTTATTGAGTTGTCTCAGGTAATGATCTCTGTTCCCTGTATTGTTGTTGCCGGTACTACTCGTCACGGAGGCGGAAGCGGATACGGCGGAGGAATCTCCGGAGGCTCCGGACGAGTTACAGCTCTTATCCATCATAAATAAAACCGAGTCGTTCCTCTATTATAAGCTTCAATCTCGTTTATCTTCTTCAGTTTTTTTGTTTTTCTCTGCCAGATTTGGTAGAGAGATGATAGAGGAGACGAAGATGATGAAAATGGTTTTTTCTCTTTCTATCTTTTTTCTTTTTCCCGAGTATTAGAGATATTTATTTTTATTTATTATATATGACAAAAACAAAATGTTTTTATATGATTTAATAAATAGGTAGCTTTAGTTGGATTTTTCTAGAATAAGATGAAAAGGAAATAATTTGTCTGTATGTATCTACGGATTCTTTCCATCGGCCTATAATGCCGAATTTTTATTATTTAATGCCTATTATATGTTCATGAATAAACATGTACCTCCAATATTCAATTCTGGACCAAAAAAAATATTCAATTCTGGACCAATTGTAATTTGTATAATTACCACATTTAGTTAAGTTGCAACTGTTTATATATTTTTTTTAAATGTCGTGAGTTGTTGTTATGCTATACTTAGATATATATGTTATGGGAAATATCATCCACATTTATAGCAAAAAAAAAGCTGTGTAAGTTCTCTTCTTTTGAAGTTTTGTTTCTTTATATACGTTTTTAACTAAAGGCAAAGGGGAAAAAAAATCTTAAGTGCTCAGAGGAGCTTATGTAGATTGCGAAAACTGTTATAATTTCTTTACATTCAACTATTTATCATTAGTTTTTTTTTTTTTGGTAAAATGGAAATTTATCATTAGTTACAGTGGAGCAAAAATAAACTTGTAAACAGCCACCAACTTTTAATAAAACCTATAACTATCAGAAAGAGATTGTGTTCCCACCATGAAAATAGAAAGAATAACTCGGAAAATGTAGAGTCGAATTTGAAGTTAATAGGTAATAGGATAAAAATCTACAATACTTAATTCTTCATTTTCCATATCTTATTCTGCTAAAAATAAGCGTTTTCGTCACCTCTATATGCATCTCAAAAAGTGATTGAAAAAAAAGTATCTCAAAATAAGCGTTTTAATTTGAAGTTTCATCTAATAATTCAGCTATCTAAGTATATCTTTCTCTGTAAATTTCTGAAATTCGTTTTACCACTAAACAACAAAAAAGGATGTGTAATTCTTGTTTCCAAAAACGATCGGCTCACTGCCAATAGATGAATTATATTATAATACAAATAGTTCGGGTAAACGGGCCGGGTTATTCAACGCCCATTTTGGTCAAAAGCCTCTAAAGTATATTACCGAAAACGACATTCGTACAGCCTTTAATCATGGGTTGTTATCCCCTACTTCTCACCACACCGAAAACAAAGAAACAAATATTACTTGTCTAATAACTAAAATGGACCTCTTTTAAACCAATAAAACCTATTGTTGAGTGACAAGAAACAAAGTTTATTCACTGAAAATGAAATAACAAAACATTCACAAAAGACAATGGCAAACACGAAAGAAGATTCAAATTTTAGACACAATATATCTTCCTAATCTTAAACGCGAACTCAACAATCTTCTCAGGATCAGGGAGTGACTTAACCACGCTTTCTCTCTGCAAACACCTTTTAGCTGAAGCCATCAGTGTCAGACACTCTGGCTCGATGCTGAAGTTACCCAATTTCTCAGATGCTTCGAACCAGATGTAATATCCAGTTATGGCAATATCTACGAATCCAAAGTTATCTCCACCAAAGTAAGGTTTATCTCCAAGCTCACTTTCAAGAAACTTGAGTGCTTCAATATACTCTTTCTTGGCTGTTTCTTGTACCTCCCCCTTCGTTTGCCATATCTTATCCGCTGGCTCATACAACTGCTCCAAGTTTCACATTATAACATCTAACACAACAATTTCCAAACTTAAACCAATTTTCAGAATTTCAAAATCCAAAATGTACCTTGGTGTCGATGAAATCGACCAAGAATCTGGCATGAGCTCTTTGGTAAGGATCAGAAGGTAGTAAGATGGGGTTTTTGTCGGACCATACCTCATCGATGTATTGGACGACGTTCATGGATTCGCAAACCGGTTTACCGTTATGGATCAGAACCGGAATCTTCTTGTGAACCGGATTCATCTCTAGAAGCAAAGGGCTCTTGTCTCTCAGATTCTCTTCTCTGTACTCAAACTCGATTCCTTTCTCTCTCAGCGCGATCCTCGCTCTCACACCGAAAGGGCTCGGCCAGAAATCTAGAAGAATCACCTCATCCGCCATTTTTGTTTTTCTTGCAATGGACTCGTCAAGAGGTTATTAAATAAACGAGTAACAAGTATTTTATAAGCTGCCTTACGTGGCAAGTTATATGTCTACTTAGTCAGCAAATTGTTATTGAGTTCAACAAGAGTTGAAATTTTAAATTGGGTTTTACAAAGTGCTTACGCCACTGCTTACGCCATTATACTAATGATCACTTATCACAAAGTTTCTCTCAGAGAGGTCAACGTTAAGCATTGAAGCTAGACAAAGCGTTGCAATGGTTTAAAGAGTTAAAGATCATAGAAACAAAGCATCTGATTTCCAGAACAAGAATGTAACTTTACAGATACTTTCCATTATTAGAAATACATCAAAGAAAACACAAAACAAACTTAAACATTTTTAGCCAAAAAAAACACAAAACACCAAAGAGAGCTAAAACAGAACATAAAGCGGCAATTATATTACTCAATCCCATATAACTTCTTAAGCACTAAAACGTATCCAACAACTTTCTCAGGATCAGGCAAGGACTTAGCCACACTATCTCTCTGCATGCATCTTTTGTCCCAGGCCATCAGTTTCGAACACTCTGGCTCGATGCTGAAGTTACCAAACTTCTGGTACGCTGGAAACCAACTGTAGTATCCAATCAGGGCAATGTCTAAAAACCCGAATTTATCGCCACCAAAGTAAAGTTTATCTCCGAGCTCAGATTGAAGAGTCTTGAGTGTTTCAACAAACTCCATCTTGGCTTCTTCTAGCTCCTCACCTTTCGTCGCCCAAGTCTTTCTCCCGCAAACATACAACTGATCATTAATTGTGACACAAGTAACATAAAAAAACTCACAGATTAGTTACAAGCAAAACCCTAGAATTAGAAATCAAAATACACTAGTTGTTTGTTACCTTCTTGTCCACGAAATCAGCCAAGAATAAGGCTTGAGCTCTCTGGTAAGGATCAGAAGGAAGTAATTGATTCTTGTTTGACCAGACCTCTTCGATGTACTGGAGCTGGATGATGGATTCGCAGACCGGTTTACCGTTGTGGATGAGAACCGGGACCATCTTGTGAATTGGATTCATCTCTAGAAGCAAAGGGCTCTTGTTATAGAGCACATCTTCTTCTCTATACTCGTACTTAACTCCTTTCTCCTCCAACGCGATATTCGTTCTCATTCCGAACATGCTTGGCCAGAAACTTAGAAGGATCACCTCGTCTGCCATTGTTGCGATCCGTTAAGCTCACAAATATTTGTTCTCTTTTACTCTGTTTGTAATTATATAACCTATGTACTTTGTTTTCAGCAATTTTAAACCTTAGTTTTTTGACATTATTAACAGTCAATAGTAAACCTTTTTCAAATTATAAGTTGGTACCATAGTTTCTTTCATTAGTTTTATAAAAAGTCAATAATAAAACTTTTAAAATTATAAGTTGGTATCACAGTATCTTTTCAAATTACAGTCACTCTCTGCATTATTAAGACAAACAAAACACAACACAACAAAGAGCTAAACAGAACAGAAAAAACAAGTAAAGAGACCTTATTCTTATCTTACTCGAGCCCATATAACTTCTTAAGCTTTAAAACGTACCCAATAACTTTCTCAGGATCAGGCAAAGACTTAACCACACTATCTCTCTCCATACACCTTTTTCCCCAAGCCATCAGCTTCGAACACTCTGTTTCCATGCTAAAGTTACCAAACTTCTCGTATGCTGGAAACCAGCTGTAGAATCCAATCAGAACAACGTCTACAAACCCAAATCGATCGCCGCCAAAGTAAGGTTTATCTCCAAGCTCAGATTGAAGAGTCTTGAGCATTTCAATAAAATCCTTATTGGCTGCTTCTAGCTCCTCTCCTTTCGTTGTCCAAATCTTCCTCCCACATACACACAACTGATCCGTGCGGAACAAGTAACAAATACATACTCATATATAAGAGCAACAAGAACAACTCTACACTAACCATTTATTTTCAATGCATACTAATTTCAAGATCTTCTCTTTTATTCGTCTAATAACCGTTAATTGCTTAATTCAAAAGTTTCTGCTATATATTAAAAGAAAAGACTATTGTTGTTGTAGTTACCTTCTTCTCGATGAAATCGGCAAAGAACAAGGCTTGAGCTTTCTTGTAAGGATCGGAAGAGAGTAACGGGTTCTTGTTGGACCATACCTCGTCGATGTACTGAACCTGGACGATGGATTCACAGACCGGTTTACCGTTGTGGATGAGAACCGGGATCTTCTTGTGAACCGGATTCATCTCTAGAAGCAAGAAGCTTTTGTTATTGATCACATCCTCTTCTTCTCTATACTCATACTTCACTCCTTTCTCCTCCAACGCAATCATCGTCCTCATTCCGAATATGCTCGGCCAGAAACTCAGAAGGATCACCTCCTCCGCCATTGTTGAGATCCGTGAAGCTCACCGAGATGATAACTTTATCATTTCTTTCATTAGTTTTATAGTCATCAACTTTATAATATCTCGTATTTTGATAATGCTAGTGGTGTATTAATATTAAGATATGTGATACTTGTCGGTCAGCAAAAGTATCAGACAAATATATTTTTATGAAAATTTGTAGACAACGTTTTTTTGTTTTTTAATTAGACATCAGAAGATACCACAACATCATGTAATTCCACACTTAAGACAATACAAACAAGGACAAAGCCTTCAAAGCCAGCGATCACATGATATGAATCTGTCTTAACAAGACATACATTCTCTACATCCACAGATTATTTAAGAAGACATGAAACGAAAGTAAAAAAAAAAAAACAGAGCATAGAAACCACCAAACGACAAAGAAACGGATTTACTTGTCAACCATACTTATCTTCCTGAACTCAGAGATAAATATAGTAACCTTGTCAGACTCAGGCAAGGACTCAGCCACGCTCTCTCTCTGCAGACACTTGTTACCCCAAGCGATCAGTTTCGGACACTCCGATTCGATGCTCAAGTTACCAAACTTGTCGTATGCCGGAAACATCGTGTAGAATCTAATCAACCCAATGTCTACATAGCCAAATCTATCACCACCAAAGTAAGGTTTGTCTCCAAGCTCAGCTTCAAGAGTCTTGAGTAACTCAATAAACTCCTTCGTCCCTGCTTCATGTTCCTCACCCCTGCTCGCCCACACCTTCCTCTGTGCAGAATACATCTGATCCATTTCACAAAGTAATAACATAAACATGGAGCTAATGTCGCAATGAATCCAAACAAGATAAAAAAAAATATATAACTTTTTCAAAATTTCTAAAAATTTTTAGGTGTTAGCCCACAAATTCTGAGAAAATTAATGCATTTTGAGGTTTTTGTAAATTAATGAATGAAATGTGTTTAAAGTGAAAGTTAATTGATTCAAATTTTTTTCATTGTAAAAAAATGTCTAAGAAAGCCAAATAAAATATTATTTCAACTTTTTCAAAATTTCTAAAAACTCGTAGATGTTAATCCACAAATTCTGAGAAAATTGATGCATTTTGAGGTTTTTGTAAATCAATGATGAAATATGTCTAAAGTGAAATTTAATTGATCCAACTATTTTTATTGTAAAAAAGTGTCTAAGAAAGCCAAATAAGAAAGTGCAATCTTCAAAATATATAAGCATTTTAAAGATCATCTTGTTTTTCGAATTTTGTTTGGTAATACATTCGGTTCAATGAAACCAAATTAAACCGAATGGGTTTCACTTTTAAATACGAGACTTGAAAACTTTTCCACCAAGACAAAACCCTAAACGAACGCAGTCACACTGGAACCCAAATTATCTAAAATCTCAATTGAATTTCTCAGAAGATTTGCTGGATTCTTCATCCGACAAGAGAACATGGATGGAAGTGGAACAGATAATAATGAAGATAGGCTGAGCAGCTTCCCAGATTATGAGGATAGGCTGAGCAGCTTGCCAGATTCTTTGCTAGATGAGATACTCTTGAATCTCTCGACAAAGAATGTGGTTAGAACTAGTGTCTTATCGAGGAGATGGGGAAATCTCTGGAGATGTGTACCTGGTTTGGACTTGAGCTGTGATGATTTCCGGGAATACAACACTTTTGTGAGTTTTGTCGATAGGTTTCTAGGTTTTAACAGCGAGTTGTGCATAGAAAATTTCAAGTTAAAGCAACAGTTAGATAGTGCTCATTTCACGCGGTGGATCAACGATGTTGTTAAGCGGAGAGTTAAACATTTGTCAGTTATTTCCTATCGTTGGAGGATCAATGAAGTCCATATACCTTCAACAGTTTACACTTGTGAGAGCTTGGTAACCTTGGAGCTCCGTTACGTAATCTTGCCTGATCCCAAGTCTGTGTTTTTACCTTGTCTCAAAGATATCTCTCTCGTTCGAGTTAAGTTTGCAAACGATTTGGCTTTCGAAAGGCTCATCTCAGGCTCTCCACTTCTCGATAGATTTATCTCTAGTGATGATCAATGCATGTGGCAATGTAAAGTGTTTACGTGTGTGCTCTAAGTCTCTATTGAGACTCACTCATTTCGACGGCTACTCTATTGATGATGAAGAGCTAGTAATTGCTATTGATGCTCCCAGGCTACGCTACCTCAAGCTCTCTGACTATGATACAACATGTGTCCCATGTTTCATAGTAAAAGATCTTGGATCCCTTGTTAAGGTGGATATGGATATTGTGTTTAAGCTGGGTTATGGAAGGAGTTTCGATCCGAATGATCTACCAAAGATTAACATGATCCGTGATTTCTTCAAAGGGATCTCCACTGCTAAAGATATGGTCATCTCTTCACGTACCCTCGAGGTGACCTAATCAAGATTTTTATTTTATTACTTGAAAAAAAGATTTTCATACAAGACATATCTGATCTTTTTGTTTTTGTTTCTCTTTCAGGTCATTTATGAATCTTACCTAAGATGTCAACCACTGCCACTATTTCTCAACCTATCTTCCATGCGTGTCACCGATTACAAGTGGCAAATGTTACCAGCTTTTCTTGAGAGCTTCCCGAATTTAAAATCTCTCGTCGTGGTTAGGATTTTTTTTTAACTCAACTACAAATTTTCTTTGTTATAATGCAAATGGTGAAAAACACTTAAAAAAAATGGTTTGTCAATTCGGTTGTGCTTTCAGAAATCTAGTGGAGACGTGGAGAAGAAGGAAGGAATTAGTACTTTATCTGGACGTCCATGTTTCCTATCATCTCTTGAGTATGTTGAGATAGAAAGGTCATTGGCGGGGTTAGTGACTTATTTTCTTGAGAACTCAACACTATGTTTGGATGATTCCAGAAAGGAAGGTGAACCTGTCATCCTCAAAAGACCCCTTATACCACTCCAAGATTCTCTGCCTCGAGAAATTGACTCTGTTCTTGGATAAAAACTTACAAAAATATAGAAGAATATGTCATCTTCTAAGGAACTCTTTTCTATTCCAAGACTCTCTAGCACTCGTCAACTTGTTGTTCTCTGATCCTCTTAGTCATTGGCCATGAAACAAATAGTGTATTGTCTAATTGAGTATTAAGTTTATGAGAACTCTGTGTTTCTTCTTTGTTTTTGACATATATACGCATCTCCTGTAAGTTCATAACGTGTGTTCTCGATTTCTGGTCCATCACTTAAAACATGTTGTTCCATCATTTCGTACTCTGCAAAATCATCATCAATGTGATGGTATAGATCCACGTATAAAACTATGAAGAGCCATGGTAGCTACAACAATTTTGCATTGTGCTTCATTTTTAAGTATTCGCCAACTTTGCCTTCCACACACTAAAAAGTATGCTCATCAATCACTGAACGTAAAAGATGAATGTGGTTTGTTAAACATTAGATGTGAATATTCGAATCCAAGCAAACCAAATGGGCTTTCAAATAAAGCCCATTGGAGACTTTAAAACCATCCCCACCGACGTGCCCTAACCGTACGCAGTCACCAGGGTGACTTTCCTCGATTCTTCATCCGACAAAGTTTTTTTCTTTCGATTTGAATGTCAGAGAAGATGGATCTAAGAGGTGGTGCAGATAGGCTGAGCAGCTTGCCAGATTCTCTGCTATGTGAGATACTCATGAGTTTCTCAACAGATGAGGTGGTTAGGACTAGTGTCTTATCCACCAGATGGAGAAATCTCTGGAAAAATGTACCTGTACTGGATCTGGACACTGACGATTTCCCAGAGGAAGACTCCTTCGTGAGTTTCGTCGATAGGTTTCTGTGTTTCAACAGCGATTCCTGCTTACAGAGTTTCAAGTTAAAGTACCATTACGGTGAAGGCAGTGCTCACGTCACGCGGTGGATCAGCACCGTTGTTGACCGGAAAGTCAAACATATCTGTCTTTTGAACGGTTCATGGGATGCTCAGATGCCTACAACGCTCTACACTTGTGAGAGGTTGGTTTCCTTAGCGCTCGATGGCGTAACCTTTCCTAGCCCTAACCCTAGCTCCAAGTCTGTGTCTTTGCCTTGTCTCAAAGATATGGATCTCAACAAGGTTAAGTTTGCAAACAATTTGGCTTTCGAAATGCTCATCTCAGCCTCTCCGGTTCTCGAGAGTTTAAGATTAGTGAATGTTTCCTCTGAGAATGTTGATTGTTTCCGCGTGTGGTCCAAGTCTCTACTGAGTCTCACTCACATCGCCCGGGTTATCGGTGGTGGTGAGAAAGATTTGGTATTTGAAATTGATGCTCCACGGCTTCACGACCTCTACCTTGTTGATGGTGTAATTGCAAGTTTCGTTGTAAAGAATCTTGATCTCTTGTTAATGTGTATCTGGATATTAGGTTTAAGCTGTGTTATGGAAGGAGGTTTGATCCGAATAATATACAAAAGATAAACATGATCCGTGATTTCTTCAGTGGGATCTCCAATGCTAAAAAGATGGTCATCTTTTCAGATACCCTCACGGTGGTGACCTATTCAAGATTGTTTATTTTAATACTTCCAAAAAAGATTTTCATCTGATGTTTTTGTTATTGTTTCTCTTTCAGGTCGTCTATGATTACTTAAAATGTCAACCACTGCCGCTATTTCCCAACCTAACTTCCCTGCGTGCCACCGGCTACTACAATTGGCATATGTTGCTAGCTTTTCTTGAGAGCTGCCCGAATTTAAAACGTCTCGTCTTGGTTAGGATTTTTTTTTTTTTTATTGAACATGGAATTATCTTTGTTATAATGCAAATGGTGAAAGTGTTTTTATATATTTGAACTTTTGTTTGTGGATTCGGTTGTGCATTCAGGGACCTAGTAGAAATTCGCCGGAGAACGAAGGAGTTAGTAGTTTATCTGGACGTCAATGTTTCATGTCATCTCTTGAGTATGTTGAGATACAAAGGCCATGGACGAATTCACAAAGGAAGGAGAATCTGTTATCCTCAAAACACCGGTTAGTGAGTTATTTCCTTGAGAACTCAACGCTATGCTTGGATGATTCCAGAAAGGAAGGAGAATCTGTCATCCTCAAAAGACCCCTTACTACTCCAACACTCTCTGCCTCATGCCAACTCAACAATCCTTAAGAAATTGACTCTATTCTTGGATTGACCTAGAAATGTAGAAGATTATGTCATCCTCTAAGGAACTCTTTTCTATTCCAAGACTATCTAGCTCTTGCCAACTTGTTGTTCTCTGATTCTCTTAGTCATCGACCATGAACAAACAGTCTTGTCTTTTGAGTATTAAGTTTATGAGAACTCTGTGTTTCTTCTTTGTCTGTGATCATTTTGATGATCTGTAATTTGTAAGAAGATTATATGTTTAGCATACTCACTTGTTTTGGAAGTTGACAAGAATCGAATGATATGCGTTATGTGCATCCCTGATAACTTATATATATATGCCATAAGCTTCATTAAGCAGATGCACATAACTACATACATTTCTTTGCCAAAAACCACAAGATATTAAAAAGATCATTTATTAAGGAAATTTGTGTAGTGCACACATGACACAACAAAGACTCCAAACCAGAAATCTCACGGATCATCCCAAAACAAGACATACATTCACTCTTGATTATTTTAAGAAGACGTCAAACGAAAGTAAAAACACATCATACATATAATTGATGAGCATAGGGACCACCAACCGACAGAGAAACGGATCTACTACTCAACTAAATTTCTCTTCCTGTACCCCGAGAGCAATGCAGTAACCTTCTCAGACTCAGGCAAGGACTTAGCCACGCTCTCCCTCTCCATACACTTCTTACCCCAACCAATCAGTTTCGGACACTCTGATTCGATGCTGAAGTTACCAAACGTCTCGTATGCATGAAACCACGTGTAGTAACCAATCAATCCAATGTCTACATAGCCAAAGTCATCGCCACCAAAGAAAGGTTTGTCTCCAAGCTCAGCTTCAAGAGTCTTGAGTATCTCAATGAACTCCTTCTTGCCTGACTCTTGTTCCTCACCATTGGTCGCCCAAATCTTCTTCTGTGCATCGTACATCTGAGTGATAACATAAACACCAAGCCAGTGTAAGAAGCCAGACGTATCCAAACAAGATCAAAGATAACCCTAAAATTTGGTTACCTTCTTGTCGATGAAGTCAACCCAAAACCTAGCCTGAGATCTCTGGTAAGGATCGGTAGGGAGGATAGGGTTCTTGTGAGACCATACCTCGTCAATGTACTGAACCTGAATGGTAGATTCGCAAACCGGTTTACCATCGTGGATAAGAACGGGAATCTTTTTGTGAATCGGATTCATTTCAAGAAGCAATGAGCTCTTGTTGTTGATGATATCCTCTTCTCTGTACTCGAACTCGACACCTTTCTCCCTCAACGCGATCCTCGTCCTTATCCCGAACATGCTCGGCCAGTAATCAAGAAGGATCACCTCATTCGCCATTGTTGCAATCCCCGAAGCTCAAACCAAGATATCTTTCTTGATCTATCTGTTAGACAAGTGTGTCTGTATAGAATTGGGTTATGAGGATTGCTGGGTCATTTATAGGTGGAAAATAAATGATACAAAAATGGGTTTGTTTTGTTTTTGCTTTCACAAACACTTACGTCACATCTCACATGCTATTTACAAGTATCAAATATGTGGACGGGCTTCAATATCAAAGTTATAAATCTTTTTATGGTCCACAATAATGAATATTTCCGGAAGTATCTATTTGAGTGTTTTTGGCACGTTCTTTTCATGCAAAACCTAAATTTTGTCAATTTTGAGCTTAATTTTGTTATGATTAAAAGTTTATTTGGTGTTATGATTTGTTGTTATTCGAATTGATAAAACCATCTTAAGTAACTGATAGAGACTACATGAACCTAACTGATAGAGACTACACGAACATAACTGATAGATACATAATGAACCAAAAATAATTCAGTAGAACATAATATGAAAATTACTGAAACGTAAATGCTAAAATGTAGTTGAAAAACTTAAATGCTTATTTTTAGTGTCAGAGGACACACCATGTGTTCTCATACCTCATAAGTAGTTTTCTTTGGTATATATATGCGTTGTCAATAATACAAATCAAAATCAAAAGCTTCGCTAGGCAGATGCACACAATATAGTTACATGTCTAAGTAAAAAAGATCATAACATTGTTCCTCTTGAATTTGTTGCTTCATCTACAACAAATATAATTGGTTTATAAAACCAAAACCGGCAAGTTGTTGGAAAACCTGAAAAAAAAATAGGCATAACACACTGTGTCGTGCATACAAACTAGGACAAACCCTCCAAACAAAAGTTCACACAAATCATCCAAAAACAAGACATACATACATTCTTGATTATTTTAAGAAGACATCAAAAACGAAAGTAAAACCACAACATACATATAGTTGATGAGCATAGTAACCAAGCGACAAAGAAACGGATCTACTACTCAACTAAAATTGTCTTCCTGTACTCGGAGAGCAATTCAGTAACCTTCTCAGGCTCAGGCAAGGACTTAGCCACGCTCTCCCTCTCCAGACACTTCTTACCCCAACCAATCAGTTTCGGACACTCTGATTCGATGCTGAAGTTACCATACTTCTCGTATAAATGAAACCAAGTGTAGAAACCAATCAATCCAATGTCTACGTAGCCAAAGTCATCGCCACCAAAGAAAGGTTTGTCTCCAAGCTCAGCTTCAAGAATCTTGAGTACCTCAATGAACTCCTTCTTGCCTGATTCGTGTTCCTCACCCTTGGTCGCCCAAATCTTCTTCTGTGCATCGTACATCTGAGTAATAACATAAACATCGAGCTAGTCAGAACTCAAACAAATCTCAAAGATAATACTACAAATGATATCATAAATGTCTGACCAAAAAAGATCAAAGATAACCCTAAAGTTTGGTTACCTTCTTGTCGATAAAGTCAACCCAAAATCTAGCCTGAGCCCTCTTGTAAGGATCGGAAGGGAGGATAGGATTCTTGTGAGACCACACCTCGTCGATGTACTGAACCTGGATGGTTGATTCGCAAACCGTTCTACCGTTGTGGATGAGAACCGGAATCTTCTTGTGAATCGGATTCATTTCAAGAAGCAAGGGACTCTTGTTGTTGATGATGTCCTCTTCTCTGTACTCGAACTCGACACCTTTTTCCCTCAACGCGATCCTCGTCCTCATCCCGAACATGCTCGGCCAGAAATCAAGAAGGATCACCTCTGCCATTGTAGCGACCCTGAAACTCACACGAAGATATTTTTGTTATATTGTTTGTCTTTCTTGATTTATCTGTTAGGCAAGTGTGTGTATAGAAATGACTTACGAGGATTGTTGGGTCATTTATAGGTGGATTAAAAATGATACAAAAATGGATTTGTTTTGTTTTGCTTTCACAAACACTTGACTTACGTCACATAATCTTTACAAGTATCAAATATGTGGACGGCCTTCATTATCAAAGTCATAAAATTTATTTATGGTCCACCATGAAGTATCTATTTTTAGTGTTTTTAGCACGTTCTTTCCTGGGCAAAAGTAGCACAAACGTTTTCCGGTTACAAGTTTTGTCAACTTTAAGTTCAATCTTTTTTATGATTAAAAGTTTATCTGGTTATGATTTTTTGTTATTCGAATTGATAGACCATCTCAAGTAACTGATAGAGACTGCATGAACCAAAAATATTTCAATAGAACATAAATGAAAACTAAAATGTAGTTGAGGAAAAATAATACAGAAACGTAAATGCTAAAATGTAGAAGTAGTTGAAAACTTAAATGCTTATTTTTGGTGTCAGAGGACACAACATGTGTTCTCAGTTGTGTCTTCAAACGTCATATGTAGTAAGTAGCAGTAGTTTTCTTTGGTGTATGCGTTGTCAATAATACAAATAAAAATCGAAAGCTTCGTTAGGGAGATGCAAACAATATAGTTACATCTCTAAGTAAAAATATGGGTTTTGTGCCAAAAAAACCTCAAACTATATTATTTTTGCAAGAAAAACCCTCACCTAAAAAAAATGCAAGTCAAACCACTCATCTTCAAAGTCACCCGTAATATATTGATGACGTGGCATTGTCAAAAATCTTTATTTTTTGTGCAAAAAAACCTCGAACTATTTTTTTTTTCAAAAAAAGCCTTCGTTGAAGAATTTTTTTGTTGTTTTCAATTTGCATAAGACCTTTAAAAAATTATTTACTGTTTTCAAGATTTTAATTTTATTTTAGTAAATTATATATAAAAATGAAAAGAAAAAGCTCATCTTCATTTTTCTTTATAACTCCATCATTTATTTTCTGAAAATAAATTAGTAAAGTCATTTAAATCTTGAACATAATGGCATTATTCATTTTCAAATTTGTTTATGGCTTTATTACCTCGTCACAATAGATTTGTTTGAGAGTAAATTTTCGGCTCGATCTGACTCAGATATAATACTTTTATTCTTAGTTGTTTCTGGTACAATTCATTTCGAACTGTTTCGTTTCAAAGAAAACAATTCAATTTAAATTTACACAAGTTTGTTCAAAGAAATCTTGTTTTAGCTAATTTTGAAGTATGTGAATTTACTTAGGAGGGTTATTGAGAGATGAATTTATGTGGAGTTGGTAAATTTTAAAAGTTAAGAGATTTGTTAAATTTATAGAGAGTTTATGTTATATTTGGAGAGAGTTTGTATATTTAGAAAATAAATTTTAATAAAATTGTTAGAATTCATAAACCAATAACAAAAATTTATGAAAAGTTTAAGAGTTTTTATAAATTCATATACCAATAATCTCATATACTTATTTGATGATAAAGTTTTTTTTGCAAAATAATTTAGTTTGAGGTTTTTTTTTGCATAAAATCTTTCTCTTTTAAAGAATGACATGTCATTAATATAGGCAGAGGCTATATTGCAGATGATTTTGGAGGTGAGTGGTTTGACTTGCATTTTTCTGAGGTGAAAGTTTTTCTTACAAAAATAATATAGTTTGAGGTTTTTTTTGCACAAAACCCCAAAAATATCATAACATATTAAACATAATTAAGATAATCCATGCATACAAACTAGGACAGATCCTCATATGAACCAGTCCCAACACAAAAGACATAACACATTCTCTACACATCCACAGATACTTTGCTGCATTATTTAAAAAGACATGAAAACGAAAGTGAAAACAGAACCATTACTGAAGCAGAGGAAGTGGTAACCAAACCACAAAGAAACTGATCTTCTCTACTTAGCTAGATACAGATCCCTCAGCTGAGTGACAAAGTCAGTAACTTTCTCAGACTCAGGCAAGGACTTAGCCACGCTCTCCCTCTGCAGACACTTCTTAGCCCAAGCGATCAATTTCGGACACTCTGCTTCGATGCTGAAGTTGCCATACTTCTCGTACGCGTGAAACCAAGTGTAGAATCCAATCAATCCAATGTCTACATAGCCGAAGTCATCACCACCAAAGTAAGGCTTGTCTCCAAGCTCGGCTTCAAGAACCTTGAGCAGCTCAATAAACTCCTTCTTCCCTGCTTCTTGTTCATCTCCCTTCGTCGCCCACACCTTCCTCTGTGCATCGTACATCTGAGTAATAACACAAACATCAGAGAGACCTAAATAAAGCTCAAAGATGAAACCCACAACGAAAGTCCTAAACTTTGGGCTTGATTTCTCTAAAGTCTATCAATTTCCAAATCCCCAAATCGAAGAAAGCTAAACCCTAATCGAAACTCATCTAAAAACCCTCAATTTCAGTTTCAATCATACGGAATTATGAATAAGAAAGAGGAAAGTTTTGATTTTTGATTTTGAATTTACCTTTTTGTCGATGAAATCAACCCAGAAACGAGCCTGGGCTCTCTGGTAAGGATCGGAAGGGAGGATGGGGTTCTTGTGAGACCAGACCTCGTCGATGTACTGGACCTGGATGGTTGATTCGCAAACCGGTTTGCCGTTGTGGATGAGAACCGGGATCTTCTTGTGAATCGGATTCATCTGGAGAAGCAGAGGGCTCTTGTTCCTCAGATCCTCTTCTCTGTACTCGAATTCGACGCCTTTCTCCCTCAACGCGATCCTCGTCCTCATCCCGAACATGCTCGGCCAGAAATCAAGAAGAATCACCTCATTCGCCATTGTTGCAATTGCTGAAAGCTCACAAAGATCTTTTTTTTTTGGTTCTCGATTTGTTCGGTGAACAAGTGCGTGTAGAGAAGAGAGTGTGGGGGTTAGGTCATTTATAATGGCAAAGTTATGGATAGGAAATTGGATTTTGCTTTCTCAACCCGTTACGTCACACAATAATCTTTATTAATTTTTTTTTTAATGAATTCTTTAGAAGCTTGTAGACAAAATTTAAAACTTTTAAAAGTTGTAAAATTTCCCTTTTTTGGTATAAAATAAGATGTTACAGTCAACTTTTTTGAACTATTTGATTATGTTTTTTTTTCTGTGCTTGATTATTTACATGTGACAAGGAATGAGAGAATTATTCAAAATTTTGGTTTAAAATTTGTCGAACGTGCTAAGTAAAAAAATTGTATTTGGTTTTGGAAAAATGAGCTCGAAAAATTCAAGAAATTAGATGCATAGGAGGAGGTAGGTAAAGTAACGTAGACGTTGACAGAGTATAAATTGGATCGAGATGTTTCGGTGAGAGTGTAGATCGTATCATTTGTGTGCTCACTACTTACGTCATTTCTACTTACTTGGCCACCTGTACTTATTTGTTCTTGTCTCACTCTTTAGTAGATTGATAAAATAAATTAAAACACTACTTTTGCTAGCTCCATAGTTTATTCAGCACTTCAATCTTCATCTTCGAACAAACTATATATGGTGAGAATATGGAATTGAAGATTTTGTTTCAGAAGATTTGTTGTTGAGTTAAGGGATTAAAGAGTTTTGTGTTGTTGACTTCACTAGCTACTTTCATAAGATTTTGTTTCAAGTTTAGATTTCCTTTATTCATATATCCTTCCCCTAACTCGTACGTGTGAAGCAAAGGAAGAGATCAATAAACCTAGCTAGTTAGGGTAGAGATTAAAACTCGTGTCTGACCTTGATCGTGAGGCACAGACAGCTAGCTGGCATCAGCTCTAGAGTCTCATCTTGTGACTCACGACGGGTGCCGCTTTCTAGTCCTAAATACAAAGCTTAATTTCAGAATAATTGGGTCGTTAGTCCTTACTTAGATAAACTAAAATTAAATGAAACTAATGCTTTGTTGTTTTTTTTGTCTAATATATTTGAATGATATGAAAATCACATAACAACAAGCAAAAAAATGAGAATCACATAACATTCTTTGTTTTTCTTCTTTTAAAACCACCAACCTCCTATAGACTTGTATTGTATGGGCTGGGCTCTGAGTCTCTACTTTTTTCATGTGACCAAAAAAAAATCCAAGCAACACACAAAAAGAAGGTTTAGGGCCTTTAGGCGTAAGGATACAAACCAATAAGTTTTAGTCCTCATGCAGAAAAATTCTCATTATATGAAATAGTTTCAGTTACTTTAGTCCCAAGTCTCTTATTCTCCTCAACTTGGTGAGCTTTCACTCACAGATCCTTGTCCTTACACTTGTATGTATGACTGATTGACTGTAGAATTGATCATATGTATATATTGATGTGGTATTTGCTCTGTTCTCTCTAACCTCTGCCGAGGCATATTCGTAGAATCGTAAGTAACAAGAAACTCTTTGTTGTTTCCTGGAAAACAAGAAACTTGACTTGTTTTTTTTGGTTTTAACTTGACTTATTATTCGCTCTCATGCATCGGTTTCTTAATTTGTTAATGTGGAACAGATCGGACGACCATTGGTGTTCTCGTTGGCGGCGGAAGGAGATGCCAGAGTGAGGAAAGTGATTCAGATGATGAGGGAAGAATTCGAACTCAAGATGGCATTAAGTGGATGCACTTCTTTAAAGAATATCACTCGTAACCACGTTGTCACCGATTGGGATGCTCCTCAGGCACGTTTAGTCCTAAAGCTGTAGTTACATAAAACAAAAAAATAAAACAATGTATTCTCTTCTTCCTTTTGTATTTACTTGATTTCGTGTACTGTAAATTTAAATGGCTATCGCAATTCGCAAGATCCACAACTCTTTTTTTTTTCTTTCTTTTTTTTTTCTCTGCGTATCTTTGGTTATATCGTTGTTTAATTTACGTGTTTTACTCTACTTATACATCTTGAATTAAATCACGTTCTTTGTAACCCCATTTTTTTGGTAAGATCACATTTTTTTCTTGTTTTCAAGAAGACAAATGTTCCCGCAAAAATTCCCGTTGATTTATTAGTTTGAAATATGGAAGTAAAATTCAAAGAAGATCAACGCAAGAAAATCATGTCCCCGTACCTACTCAACGACATTGCGGGATTTCGGTAATTGGCAGAGAGACGCATTTTGCGGCACTGATTCTTTTGGTAATAATATACCTTGAATTTTACATATAAAAAAAGAAGAAAAATATGAGGCCCCAAACAAACTTGGAACAACAAACCATATATACCTGCCCTTTCAAGACTCTTACGGCCAAACCAAACTTTCCCTCTTCCCTCTTCTTTTTTAAATCCAAAACAAATACTCCTATGTTAATGTGATCAGTTTTTGGTCGACATGTATAGATTCATGAAGTAGAAAATAAAAACTAACCTGGATTTGCTTGCGTTGCATTCGATATCTCATGACACGTAGCAACAGACTATTATCATAACGTGATACATACAAATAGTTGACAAAAACACACAGAGTCAAAGAGATAAGTAGATACCAAATTTTTCATTTAAAAATTGTCAGAACATGTATCTAGAAACCTCTAACGACTTTACAATACGATATCTAGAAACATCGAATGTTTTCTTTAACATACTGTACACCGTGGCATTTTAGCTTATACTCTACAAACTCGTTACTTTATTTTCTATATTCTAATGTTTCAGGCGTCAAATTCCGATACATTCAGCTTATTTTTCGGCATATATACTATTTAATACATACTACTGTTTAAAGAAATAGATAAATATATATGCTATATATACGTATGATCTTGCCATTTTTGTTCAACTAAGCATTTTTAGTTCAATTTGCATATAAAAACCTTTGCGTTAATTAAAATTCATAGTTTGCACGTTAGGAATCCTTATCAAAATCTAAACATAACTAGTCTAACTTAACATTTGTAGACAAATCCTACTTAGATGTAGGTTTAGGTCTAAAACTTTCCCATTAGTAGTAGTCTTGAACGAGAGAATAAATTTTAAGTATGGCCGAAAAAAAAGTGTGGCTGTGAAGTGCATTACATGTCCAAATAGTAGAACCAGTGCGCGCTTTATGTATACGCTTACGTATACGACCACCAGAACCAATAAGAGTGTGCTAAAAGATCACACGAAAATATGAAAGTATTTCTTTAATACAAGTCAAAATTGTGAGATGTATCCGGTGTGCTAAACTTACAGAAAGCGCAACAACCACGACGTAAACCCATCAATAAAGTAATCGTTAAATATCCAAATATGCAGTTTCCTTTAACTACGAAAATTTACAGTAAAAAGTGATCGGGCTTCTAATACCCAGTTCATTCATGGTATTATCTTAGCAAAACGGTTGTATTTTGTAGATTTTTGTAAGTTATCAATTTTTTTTTACACAACATATGAGACATTATGTCACATACAAAATGACACCAACACAATATATATCTACATGCTGTGTTAGCCTATTCGAGGACATCATTTGCACTATTTTGGCTTATGAAAACCAAGTTAAATGAAGTAAGTATTTTCATAATTAGACGTAATTACGGGTCTAAATTGCTTCAACATTTTCAAGATAACAATTCGCATTTTAATTTATTACCGGTGGTATCCACTACATGAAAGAAAAATACCATTTGAATTTTTCTTACAGTTATCCACTACATAAAAGAAAAATACCATTTGAATTGTAACTAGGCGAGACAATTGCTTATAGAAAGAAAAACTAATCGATAATTGCAAGAAGACAAAAAGGTTGAGCAGAGAGATAAGAGAAGGACCCACTTTCGAAACAGATATCACATGAGATATTTTGGGATTCAACTTTCAAAGGTAATTTTCTTCTAAGAACCTTCTCTTGATCTCCTCGCTGAGATATTTTTGAAGCCTTGTAGTTTTATAGCTTCCTCTAAAGATTATTATATTATATATCGAAAAAATCTCTTATATTATTCCTAGTTAATCTAGTTTAGTGCTGTAAACGTTTTTGACTATTTGTAGAACTTACTGTATTAGTGGTCTTCCTAGCTTATAGATAAAAGATGGACGCACTCGCATTTCACTCTCAAGAAGTTATTCACATTTCACTTGTATTATTCATCCTTAACAAAAATATAATAAAATATCGTTGATACAACGTCAAGATCATTAATTAGCCCAAATAACAAATGCATGAGTCTCTCCTCGACAAAAAGACAAATGAGTCTCTCCACTCTCCAGCCGAGACGAATTATTGAATTGTTTCTCCGTTTTTTTTTTTTTTTTTTTTTGTGGTCACCGAATGTAATTAACTATCTCTTTTTTTGTCAGCTTGTAATCAACCAATTCTCTAATTGAATTTAATTATAATGTATATACATATAGCCAAAAATGAAGAGACTCGATCCCGGGGACTAATGAACAACAATCCCTCAGGCAACAATTCTCTCTCTATCTCTATCACTCTCTTACACTACACTCATATACAAATGAGAAACCCTAATAACAAAAAAAAATCTTGAAATTAATGTAAAGCCTGCTTCAGTAAATCTTCTTTACTGATGAATGTCCCGTGGAAACCATAAGGCACTCTCGACGGAAGCGTAACCGTAGCTTCAAGCTTCATACTAACTGCATTTATAATCTGAAGTTCCGATTTCACATTCTCCTCGTCGTGAACGAACACCATAACGTAACCGCAGTCTTCTCCTCCGTCACCAGAGTTAACCTCCGGCATAAACAGAGGCTCTCCTCCGAATTTCCCGTCTCCATACACATACTTTTGAATTTCACCGCTCGATAAATCAACTTTCGCAAAACCGGACACTTTAGGCCACGGTTCGGCTAAAGCCAAGTAAGCAAACCGGGTTTTTCTACCTAATAAATTTCGGTTTACCATACCGGCTTCGAGATTGACTTGTTCGGTTGAGATAACCGGTCTACGCGTTGATTCCCCTGTTTTCAGGTTTAGCCTTATCTCCGACAAAACACTCTCGAGTGTTTCGTCGTGTTCGTTGAAAATTGAGTCAGGTGGCGTCATGCATGACCCGATCACGACAACCTCGTCTGTCTCCGGCTCTTCCCAAGCGTTCCAGAGATGGAAACAGAAGCAATCAGGCACTTCGATCCACTGAATCGACGAAGCATCTTCCGCGTATTTGTTCAAAACACCGAATCTCGATTTCTTGCTCTTGTCGTAAACCACCGGAGAGCCACCTCGGATCATCTCCGGTAATCTGAAAACCACTTGCTGGTCCGGAACCACGACAAAGTTCTCGGTGATCGCGAAATCGTGGATCATCGTCGGTTGATCGAGAGGAATCTCGACGTCCGGAGATTTCTCGCCGTCGGATGTGAATCTGAAGTATTTAAGGTAAGGCTTCGAAACGACGTCGTAGCTGAGAGCGAATAGTTCTCGGGTTTCCGGGTCGATTTTCGGGTGGGCGATCATTGTGGTTTTTAGCTGACCGTCGAAATCGTACCGGCCCGAAGTTTGTAAATCTCCGGTTGGAGTGACTTTAACATGGTACGGTAAATCGTCTTCAGACATGGCTAAGAGGTGACCGTTGAAATAGATTAAACCGGCATTAGCGACACCGAGTCCTCGGGTCGGGTCGACTAACCCGAATAGCCCACGGGCATTGAAGAGCATTAGCTTGGCTATGCCTAAATGTCCGTGAAGCTCTCCGATTGCTTTGGGGAAAACAGAGCGGCCGAATTCTCGCTCTTGAACCAACCGGTTTGTTTCGGTGAACCGGCACGAGTAGCTAACCGAACCGTTATCGAACCGGACGGCGTGAACCATACCGTCTCCGTCGAAGAAATGGTGACCGGAGACTGGTTTGTGAAGCGGATTCGCTCCGTTTCTGACGTACACTCCTTGAATGCACTCCGGTACTGTTCCACTCACCGGAAGGTTATGCCGGACTGGTTGCTCCGGTACCGGGAAGAAGTTTCCGGCTATTTGAACGGCGGGGTCGGCTGTTTTAGGAAGCGGATGACGGCGGCGCTCGTGTGAGATCATGGCGTTTTCCACCGCGTCTAAGATCGTAGCAGCGGTTCTCTGTACCGGGTTTAGTTTTGGTTTCGAGATCGGAGTTCGGTTAGCTGTTTTGGGGATTAAGGAAGCGACGTCGTTGCATAGTTTCTTCCAAGACGGTGGTTGGTATGTAGTCGGAGATTGGAGAGAAGAAGAGACGGAAGATCTTTTGTTGACGGAGAAAGAAACAGAGGAAGGGTTTAGTTTGTTCTTGTTGCCGAGTGTCGAGGAAGAGGAAAACGATAGAGACTGAAGAGTGGGTCTAGAAGAAGAAAATGATGTAGTAGAAGTAGAAGCCATCATAGTCGAAATAAAAACGCTGCGTTTTGGTGTTAGTAAAGGTTTCTACAAGACCAAGTTTGGGTTTTGTCCATAAATAGAGTGCGTGAGAGAGAGATGCGAGTATTTTGTGAAAACACAGGACATGAGGTTATATATATACAAGGAAGAGAGAAAGGGCATTATCGTATACTCGCTACTGATGTTTACATGTGTCCTAATTCCATATCTATCTGATGAGACTTATTTTGCTTTGCTGTTTGGTTTATTCGAAAACAAGTATGGTTTTTTTAAAATCACTATCGCCTATAGTTTTTTAATAAGAATGAAGTATAATATAGTTTTTAAGTGATCAAAGGGTAGTGTAATAATTTAATGCTTGATGAGAATGAATCTGGTCTTAGTTCGTATAAGAACTTTTCAACAAATAGGAAGTACTATGCGCTATATGAATTAGGTCAATAACAGTGAGAAATTCGTTTGTTTATAACTTTAAATGATTTCATTAGTATCTAAAATGAATCTTTTTCAAAATATATGACACAGAATAATATAAGTTTCTCGCGTTCAGCTGCTTCGACATTACCTACGTGAAACTTAATCCAGTTAGAAAGGAATTATGCTATTAGTTTGACATACAACAAAATGGGCACGTATATAAAGTTATAAAACATATAAATACTAGAGTTTGACCCGCGCCTTGCACGGGATGATATTTTCTCAATTTGATTTTATTAAAAGATGTCTATTTACATACAATTTTAGGAACATAGAGTGTTAGACAATTAAAAAAATATCAATTTATATTAGACGAAATTTTGAGTGATGCATAGATTCGGCATTTTTGAACCACGAAACTCTTGGTTTCCATTTTTTTAGCCTGGTTTGATTTTTGTCATCGTTTACAGTGTGGTAATCTAACATTTGCTTTAACAACAGTTTCTCCCTTTCCGAACCCACATATATATTAAATTTTAATACATTTAAAATAATTTTATATTTTGATAAATATAAAATGGCATATATATTTTATGTTTTTATCAATTTTAAATAACTAAAATAATTTAACTTATATGATAAGTTATTAGAATTTATTACGTTTAAAATTTTGATCAAACCAAAATATTAAAAAATACGATTTAATTATTTAATTCAATTAAATAATCAAATTAAATCGAATAAAAGAAATTTTAAAGATTTCCAAACATGGTAAATTTTTCTTTCCTATTTGTGATTATGGTTGATCATTATTTGGATCCTATTTTATAATAGATTTTTGAACTATTATCCCAAAATATAATCATGTGGGACATTTAACATTTTTAGAGATTAGCTTCATTTTTAAAAATTCAAACCATAGCATATGTAAAAAAAACTAATTTTTTTTTTAAATATTTTGATGTGATGATATAATTTATTCTTGAAAGTAAAGCTAAACAAAAATGATAGATGAATAAATTAATTTTTAAACAATTAATATAATACAATTGAATAAAACTTTCCATATTTTACTGCTTCGACATTACAATTCTCACGGGATGATATTACACTCCATCACCCCGTTCAGCTGCTTCGACATTACCTACGTGAAACTTAATCCAGTTAGAAAGGAATTATGCTATTAGTTTGACATACAACAAAATGGGCACGTATATAAAGTTATAAAACATATAAATATTTATAGAGATTAATATGTAAACTGGAAACTAATAGTTGGGTGTTCCACGGCTAATGGAGATGGAGACTGGCTTTTTGGTTAAGACGCGTTGTCACCTTCACATCAAAACGTTTTAATCGCACCACACGTGGCATCTTCCCCCACTGTTATGACTTGAAACTGCCACTGATTAAAAACAAATAAAAAATCTTTGCGTTCTCACTGGGAGATTGCATAACCGCAAGCACCGAAGAAATTACATCAATAGTGTGCCCAAACGTCATTCAAGTTACTATAAATATATGATTTCTTTTGGTAAAGTATTATGTGCCTCACGCGTTTGCTTATTGGTCTCGAGTTTCAACGCTTAAGTGAGATTATGACATTTTTTGTGTACAAAAAGTGATTGTATGACGTTACATGAATTTGTTTAACACCGGGAGCAAAAAGAGTTTTTTATGCTTTAAGAGGTCCTCGAGATTCTTTGTTATAGTTTTGGACTTTTGGGTCTACCGATGTTTATCATTCACACATGGATATAAATAATTTGGTCCGTATATTGTTATCGTTAAATTTTCAAATGAATTTATGCATTAGATGGGATTGAAAGCAAATGCAAATTATTAAGAACAAATTGGAATTTTGATATTATAAAAGTATTGGGTTAAGGAGAATTAAGTCTTAGATCGTATACTCATCAAGTTGGGTGGTTTTGAATTTACGACCAATATCTATTGAGTAAACACCCACTAAAAAAACTGAAATGAAGCAATCGTAGATGCATCACAGTCCACTAATCACACCATTAATTAATCACTTCAACGCGTTATTGATTTACTGATCACGCAGGTCCTCCCACAGGTACAGCACCAGATAATTTGTCAATCGTCATTACGTAATGGAAATATCTAAAATGGAATAGAAGTTTAGACTAAAATGGATCTCGAGTTTGAATTGAATTAGATCATCTTAGCATTAAATATTATGCGTTGTTAAAATAAAATAATTAGACTAATTATCAGCTTACCACCTCGAGCACCAAAATGTATGGTTTTTTATGGCCATGTAACTTCGAGCATATATAACCATATATTATTTTTCCTAACCAGAGGAGTTTGAAGTTTGAACTCTCTAGTATGTGGATAATACGCATTAATCGCATAGAGTTACAGTATGCTACGTATATGTATGCATATGCAAAATGGTTCAATTCATGTGGCCACATGGAAGCACATGCTTAATCCAAGTCACCTATCCCCAAGATTCATACCGATTGTCCAGTGGAAAAAAGTGCACATATATAAATATCAAAGTAAAGACGAATAGTGGCTTTAAATTTACTGAAATCCATTGAAAGGTAGGATACGGTCGGCCCAACAATCTACATTAACTAATCCAACTAGTAACTAACAAACTTTATGATTGGCTCGCAAGACCATTATTATGAGTAACATGGTCGTTGCTTGTTCTTTGTTTACTTATTTGAGCCTACTAAACCTTGTTTAAGAAACTCTTAATATAATACCCAAATTTAATTTTGTTCTTATTTGAGACTGTATTTATATGAAATTCGATTGCCAAATTATATTATATATAAATGTTCATTATCAATTTAGAATTTTCTTTATAGTTTGATTGCAAATCAATTTGTGTTTAGCTATCCCTTTTTCTCGAGCATTTGATACCACGTAGAAAAAAAAGCATGTATATCTATATTATTAAGAGAAATGAAAATACACAAAATAACACAAAAGACGATTATAAAGATATTACTGTAATAAAGTATAAAAAATACAATATAGGCTACTATAGCATGGACTTGTGGAAGTATTCGAGAGTTTGACCAACCGACTTTACCTGAAAAAAACTGCCAAATCCCTTGTGACCTAACAGATCTTTGGCTGCAAATTGCTTTCATTTGCATTATAAAAATCTCTTAGACATGCTTTCTTGCGATAGAATAATTGAATTTGCACCATAAACCAAATTAGTCTAGTTACAAATAGCTTGTCCTATTCAATAATTAGCAGCTTAATTAAATCAAAGGTCGGCTACGTATCAGATCTTCTCATCATTGGTCAATGAAGAATACTGTCTACTACATTTATTGGACTTAAAGCATATGCTATACGTAAATGGGTCCATATGATCTCTTCATTCATGATTTAAACAGTTGATGATTGGGGAAAGAACGAATATTAAATATATATATCAATTTTGCACACACTGTATTATCGTAGATGGATAGCTAAAATGAAAGAAAAAAACAATTGTCACATTACTAAAGTAACATGTTGGTCCAAGGGTCTTTGTCCAATGACTAATCAATAGCTTTAAATATGTTTTAGCGCCGCAGCATCTATCAACTTACTCTTACTATATAGTATATACTGATATAAATGAGCCTAGCATATGATTAGTATGTAACTAAGATTTGATGGGACGAGCAATAATGGGTCCATGAAGATATTCGTTAGGCATGAGAGTGTCGTGTATCTTAAAACGTGAAAATAACAGATAGTGTTTCTGTCCCTTCTCTCATGTGTGGTGGCCCATAGCTGAGCATTTCCATCATTTTGTAGGTTGAAACTACTCGCATAGTCACATGGACTCATAAAGTTCACCTTATGGCTACTACATACTCGAAAACAATATAATACATTCACACACAAAATCGTCGCTAGAAAAGTTATCTTCTTTTCGTTCAAACTACTTTTACTGTATATCGTCAGAGCTTAAATCAAAGTCCCTTGTGCATTAGGTAGTCCGAGTTTGGTTTTGGACTTCGGAATTAAATCCTGAAGTTTGACTCTATGATGATGATATCTATAATGGTTAAAGTTTTGAATACTTTGCTGTTACTTAAATTATTGCTAAGCTAAACTTATATATATATATATATATATATATATCATCTCTAGTGGTCAAAATTTTATATCATATTCAGTGTGTTTTCACAATTTTATTATAACTCAACCACACCCAAATTCTTTAATTAATATGAAAACTTAAAACAATACTCAAAAACTAGCCGTTTGGAGTACGGAAATAGAAGGAGCCGGTTTAAAAGAAAAAAACTAGCCATTGGGATTATGGGCCTTGGCGTCCTAACTTACGGTTCGAAGAAAAAGCTTCGTAAAGGCCCACGTTATTAATCGATCAAACCATAATTTAGGTTTAAGAATGAAAAGAAGTGACCATCCATTACAAGTAAGTTAAAAACCAAAAATATTAAAACCCATCCTATAAACCCACTGATCCAAATCTAGTTTGTTGTGGAATGTAAGATGTAAAGGTATATAATTCACAACGTAGTATGGTTTGGTCGATTAAGCAAAGAGATGCAAATTCCTCAAATCCATTTATCATTGATTGCTCAACACTTGATTAAACTAAACAAATGACTAAAAAAAAGGTGCCAAGAGTTTAACAAAGCAAAAAAAAAAAAAAAAAGTGCCAAGAGCTACAATGAATTAAAAACAAATATGGAATTTGTGTATCAACGGATGCAAGACGGAGGATAAATCTTGCCACGTGTCCAACCGGCAACATTCTCACAGTAAGAGATGGCTGGACCGTCGTATCCATGGTGCAATAAGTTGACGTCGGCGAGCTCAACGCCTTTGCAAGGAGCATTCCTGCTACACTGCAACTTCACGGCCACTTTGGTCATCGACGTTCCCCAAATGTTATTGAACTTCACGTTTTGGATCTGAACCTGAGAATGAGTCTGCAATAAAAGAAAAACAAATAAGATCATCTAAAGAACAATGAAAAACAAAAAAAACATTTGCCTTGTGACGGAAGTTACCTTATGGTTGCAAGGTGGGTTTGGACAGTATTGCTGATCAATGATGATTGGATTTTGTACATTGATCATCTGGAGATTCTTGTAAAGAAAATTCGAAACCAAGTTCCGTGAAGGCGATGAGGCCCATGTCTTGATCCGTACTCCATTCGTCGTACCGTTAAAGATCGAATTCCTAACGGTTAATCCCTGAACAGTCTTCTCATCTTTCCACCTCCCGAGACTTCCAACGCTGATCCCATGTCCCGGTCCACAGTTGACTCTGTCGATATCCAAATTACTTGTTCCGGACAAGATCGCGATGCAGTCGTCGCCGGTTCCGATCTTAACGTTGTGGATCCTCATGTGGCTAGATTCACCTATCTTGATCCCATCGGTGTTAGGGCTATCTCCGGGAGCCCTAATGCTGACGCTTGTTATGTCAAAGTATTGGACGGCGAAGAAGTTGATGTGCCCCATTTTGCTGTTGATGGATTTGATACGGCTGATTCTCGAAAACCTCACGAATAGGAACCCTATGTTCATAGGTAGAGCTCGGCAGTTAGGGTTTCTGCGGCAATCGTTGCGTGGCCATGAATAGCTTCCTTGTCCGTCAAGAATGCCACCGCCTGAGACGGTGAGATAGTCAACGTACTTGAAAATGATCCACGTGTCTTGTTTGATGAGGTTAGCGTTTTTAGGAGCTAACAAGGTTCCCTTGATGATGAAACTAATCCGGCTTTTGCAAGGTCCCGTGAAGGTCACGCCACCGAGGTAGAAGGTTCCAAATGGAACGTACACTCTAGGGTTTCCTCTCCATGCGCACGCTTCTTTCCAGGCCTTGGAAAACGCCTAAAGCGGAAAATCAAGACAATAAAATCAAACGCATGTTTTATGCAGTAAAAAAATTGAAACAATAATGTTGAATTATTTGGATCAAGAAATGAAAAAAAAATATTACAATAGTATTATCTGTTTTGCCATCACCGCGAGCACCGTAGCTTCGTACGTCGAAGATCTTTCTTCCGACGGAAGCGGTGGAAGCGGTTGAAACGCTACTTGCGACGACAGCTATGAACAAGATTAAGCTAAAACAACAGATAGTGGAAGCCATTTCTTTCTTCCTGTGGTTAAGCTGGCTCTTGTTTTTGATACTTGAAATGTTTTTGAACAACGAGAGAATGGTTAATTAGTTATATATACTAGTGGATCTCTAGGGTATACGACTATGAGAAAGATATATCAGTGGCTTGATTCTTGCTACTGATTTTTCGGTTGAAATTAATTTGTTTCTTTAATCGTACAAATTGATTTTGTTTCTCTTTCTCAATTGATCATAGAACTTAATGTATGTTTCTTTATCAGCACCTACCAATTGAAATATTTATAATTCTTGCATAACGATTCTTCGCTATAATGAGTTCTTTTGTGATTTCCTTTAAAACAGAATATATATCAGTAGATATGGTAACTAATTGTTCCAATTTTGGTCAATTACGGATCAAAAGTAACAAAGTGTCCATAAATTCCTTCCGTACGGATTACAAATCAATTTTTGGTTTGCAGTAATTTAGGTTTATGATTATACATTAACGGCCAAATTGGGTCACTTACCAAAAGTATGTTAACATAATCGAAAATACCCCAATCATCATTAATTACAATTCACCAAACTTTATAATCGAACCGTTAACGTTACACCTACCGAAAATAGCTCACTGTTGCAGTTAAAAGCTTGATATTTTAATACGTACTCTATCAAAAATATTATATTTTGTCAAAAGGCGATCATTTCAAAAAGAAAACATTCAAGTTGTGAGTCAAGATTTTTAGTCAAAATCTTACTCTGGTCTGTTATATAGCCAAACTTGACCTTGCCTATGTATGTTCATGTGTTTCATGAATTTTATGATACTAAAACTGTAATAACGGAACTACTTTTTAAAATCGTAAATATTTAACAGAATGTTTATTGTATGATTGTACACATGTACCTTGAACAAATCCCTTATAATTCATCTTATGACTATGAACAAATTTTAATTTACCTTTTAATAATTAAGAAAGATAATACCAAAAAAGGAGTACGATATATGGCAATTAAATTTCTGGTGTGGTACACACATTATTAGGGACATAGCAAAAGTACAACCGTACAAGTACAAGCAATGAATTTGCAAGTTGTGAAGAAAGAATTACGGTAATGAATGATGATGAGTCAACAAAGACAAAAAATATGGGAAACGAATAAATGATGGGGTCCCTATATGAAACTCTCCACGAAACATCGTATGTAACAATCTTTGACTTCTTGGATCATTGTGGAAATTCTCATCTCCTTTGCAAGATAAACTCTCTTTTACAAAATAATAATATCCGAAAAGAGTATGATTGAATTAATCAAGTCTATCAAGATCTGAATTTATTAATTTTAAGGTGCATAATTTTTTTTTTTGAATCATAATGTTTGAATTTATTTCGGTTTAGTAAATTATATATAGGCTTGTATTATGTTTCATACACTACCTATCTTTTGTTCTTGTCTTAAAACATGAAACATGGATATGAATATAAAAAGAAAAATGATAACCATGAGACACACTAACTTACTTTTGCTTTATATCACTCCCAAAAAGGCATTACCTTCAAATTTTCTAGAAGCATAATCAAAGACTGTTTTATTTTGTTATGACGACATATTGTTTGAGTACGTGCAAAAATCTACACACGGGCATAAACTTTCTAAGTTTCTTTTTCTACAAGTTTTACTTAGGCTGGTTTCATGTGATGGTGATGGGATTCCATCAAACAATGCGTGCTTTGACCCAATAAAAGAAAATATGTAATGTGATTTTGGTAATTTTGTAGTAATAATGATATGAAATGTTAGTGTTTGGTCCGCCAAGGCTGCTGGCTATTATTAACGGTCAACATGTCGTACTCGTAACGATCAAAGAGTCTATCTCTCCATAAGGAAGCCACGTGATTATGACCAACTGATCTCTAACTAATATTAGCATGTGTGTAGAACAACTAGTTCAGCTTTTCACCGTTCACAATAACAAATTTTCGTATAACTGTATACTTTGGAGAAAATGATCTAACTTAACCTATAAATGGTGATCTGGCGTCAATGTATATATACTGTATAGTGTTCTAATGTTCTGCTTTTTAAAAAAAAAAATTGTGTGTAATATGCATACAGAACCCTTCAATGAAACGATTTATATTTTCTAGAACTAGAACAATATTTCTATAACGCTCGACAAATATAAAAATATAGGAAAATCAACGACTATATAACCAAAATCACATATTTTCGACGATAAAAAGCTGGTCAGCGAAATTTATAATGACGTTTTAGTCAAAAACTAAAACAAATTATCATGACGTCAGAAAAAATGAAAAAACTAGGTCGTCATCTATATTTTTCATGTAGGACCAGATTATGAAATGATTTCACAAACAATATGAAATGTTTTTCTTGATTGACCCACTTCAGTGCCCCACGAAGTATTGTAATAAATCATTTGATTCTCCCTCTATATATACAGGTATTCAACTATGCATAAAAATATACAAACATCTGGAGAGGCCCAAAGACACAGGAAGAAGATCATTCATCATATAATCCACACACCTCATTTTTGTTTTACTTTCGTCTTAAATCGTTTAATCATAATAATGTCGGGAAGAGGGAAAGTGAAATCACAGCCGATGAAAGTTGTCTTCATAAACACACAGTACGTCGAGACAGATGCTCGTAGCTTCAAGACTGTTGTTCAAGAACTCACCGGTAAGGATGCCATCGTCGCCGCCGGTCCTTTCGACTCTCCCTCTGCTTCCGACGGCCGTTGTTATGGTGGAGGTAATAAAACAGGGGAAGATACGAGGCGGCTCTACGGCGGTGGAGGAGGAGGAGTGGGGGCTATGACCGGTACAGAGTTTGATAGATTTTTCAAGGAGATGCCTCCCATGGAAGAATTGTATAAACTATGGTTAGAAAATTAAATTATATGTTAATGATTTTTTTCTTCTCAAAATCAAAATCTTTCTTTCATCCACTAAGATAATGTTCTGTGATTGAAACTAATTATTGGATCGTCGTCACTCTGAGATTAGGTCCAATTGCGAATGTTACATTTTGGGAAGTATAATATGAGTTTCATTATAGTACAGCCCATTTCTATGAAATTTCGGTCTTATTTGAAAGCCCACGAAACCCATATATTCGGTTTTGTTGATGTGCTTTTGAAACCAATATGCTATAGTTCACACTTCACAACAACCAAATCAAGCATTATGTGAACTAATCCTTTTGTATTTATATGTAAAATAGGTTTGTGTAAGAGTGTTGTAGATGGCTGAGACAAATAGAAACAAAACCCATGGTTGACCCTCTCTAACCAACCTTAACCAGTTTTGTGTTGGTTGAACCATTTAATTTTCCATCAAACCCAAACACACACACACACATACACATGACTTTAGTCGTCTCATCTACAATTTTTGTAATCAGAGGGGTTAATTCAACGATTGTTATTAAACTTATACGTCAACTTTATAATATATTTTAAAAAGCATTCCGGTAACCAATTTTGTCGTGAAGAAGAAGAACATTTTTAATTCAATTAGACGTAACACTAACGCCGACTAATCTAGTTTTAAAATAGGAGCACCATACTTTGAACAACAATGAATGATAGAAGAAGTAAATCCTCGTACAAATAATATCCCAAAAGAAAATGAATACAATTAGATTATTCGAAGGTAAGTTACGACTTACGAATATAAAGATTAATCACACAATGCGACAAAGAAACATACAATTAAGAAATGGATAAAAAAAAAAAAAAAAAAAAAAAAAAGACATTATTCTGACCCAACTCGGTGCTTAAGACAAAACCGCCTTCACAAGATTTCGTATATTCTAATCTTTTTCTGGTCAACAAACCAAAAATATAACGACACGACGTCGTTTTACCTGAAACTATGAGACACGCGCGAAGAAGGAGGCGCGTCGAGGGAAAGAAGAAGAAGAAGAGGATTCTTTGCCTCGTCTCTTACTCCATCGTTTCCTGTTCCTCTTTTGCTTCTCCACCTCATCATCATCTCTCTCTCTCTCTCGATTTTCCGTCAAAATATTATAAAATTTATCGCAAAAAGGAAAAAATAAAAAGCAAACGAAACAGAAAATACAAATTTCAGATAATCAGATACAACACCTTCTTCTAATCTTCTGGTTTTTTTTTTGTTCTGTCTGAATTTATATTAATACGAAACAGACACACACAAACACTGTATCTTTGCTTTTATCTTCTTTCTTCTTCTCCTTCTCTCTCTTCTCTCTCTACAGAGTTAAAGTTCTGATCGTGTCTCTTATCGTTTACCCCAAAACCCATCTTGATCTCATTTCTTGTTTTCTTCTGCTCCTTGTTCCTCGAACTCCTCAGGTTCTCTTCTCCGATTTTATCCTTTTTCCGTACTTCTTCTTCATCTTGTAGGGTTTCCATTTCTGTTTAAATTCGTGGAATTGATAATGTTTTCTATTCAAATTGGAAAGTTCCAAAGTTAGGGCTTTTATGTATGCTAAGCTAATTCATTTCGAAACGGCTGGAGAAAAATTAGGGCTTTTTACCCGAATTGTGTGCTGAGAATTGAATTCACATTTGTGCAGGTTTAAAAACCATTTCTTATGGTGAAGAAGATTGTTCCCAACTTGAAGTAGTGAGGCTTGTAGGAAAAGGAATTGTTTTTAGGCTGTGAATGTGAATTTTAGTGACAGAATCTCTCTGTTCTTTAAGAAGGTTTAGGAGAATAGTGAAGAAAAGATTAGAGATTTGTGATGGGTAATAGGCTTGGAAGGAAGAGGCAAGTGGTGGAAGAAAAGTATACAAAGCCACAAGGCTTGTATGTGAATAAAGATGTCGACATTAAAAAGCTTAGGAAACTTATTGTTGAGTCTAAGCTTGCTCCTTGCTATCCTGGAGACGATGAAAGCTGCCATGATCTTGAAGAATGCCCCATTTGCTTTCTGGTTTGTGAAAATTCTCAGTCTTTCTCTGAAGAAATGCTTAACAATGGTAACATTTTGTAGATCTAACTAACTCCGTGTTGTTTTCTTGTTTGTAGTATTATCCTAGCCTCAATAGATCAAGATGTTGCATGAAAAGCATTTGTACAGGTAAATTTTTCATTCATTCATCTTCTTGATTCTGTTCTTGTTTCTATTTCAGCTAATATAAGAGTTCTTTTTTATTAACTTGCAGAGTGTTTTTTGCAAATGAAGAATCCTAATTCAGCTCGGCCTACTCAGTATCCTTAAATCTTGATCCTCTGAATTAACTTTGTCTTTTTGATTTGATGGATCTTTTTCTTTTATGTCATCCTTAACATTATGAGATGCCCATTTTGTAAAACACCTAATTATGCTGTCGAGTACCGTGGGGTAAAGTCAAAGGAGGAAAAGGGCATTGAACAAGTTGTAAGTCAGAAAATAATCATTCATTCTCTATAAAGCTTTTGGTGGAATTTGCTTTTGTTCATTCATTCCTTCTCTCTGTTTTGTTTTTGTAGGAAGAGCAACGGGTAATAGAAGCGAAAATAAGGATGAGGCAGAAAGAAATGCAGGATGATGAAGAGAAAATGCAGAAACGTATGGAGTCATGTTCCTCTAGCACAAGCGCAATGACTGGTGAAATCGAATACGGCTCAGCTTCAGCTATATCTTACAGTTCTCCCATAGAAGACGATGAAATCACTTCACCTCAGAACGCTTCAGTTGTTAGACAACGTTCACGCCCTCGAGGAAACAGGTCTGTCTTTCCACTGGTATCATTTTCTTGACTAAGTTAGCTAAATGCATATTAATGGAAACTTTTTAGTCTGAGTGATTCATATATATGATTTGGTTTGAAACACTTTTAGGGATGATGAGGTTGATGTTGATCTAGAGGAGTTAATGGTCATGGAAGCAATATGGCTCTCCGTTCAGGTAAAAGTTTGATTGTTTAGTTAAAGTGTCTAACTTTGTACCTCTGATGACAAAATCTCACAACTTTTCACTTATTCAAAACAGGAAACAGGGATGCAGAGCAATTCAGCTTCTGGTGAAATGACATCTTCTAGGCATCATCATCAGTATGTAACAGATGATCATAGTTATGTTTCTTCACCACCAAGAGCGGCTCCAACAACTCCATCTTCATGTGCTATGGCTGCGCAAATGGTTGGCGAATCCTCCAGTCATAGTCACAATCACAACAACAATGTTTCTTCATACAGTATGCTTATTGACAACCATCATGATGATCATCATCAGCATCAGCATTACCATAACAACAGCGTGATGGGAGAGACAGGAAGCAACAGCTATGTGAGTTCTTCTTACATGAACGGCGAGAGCTTCTACGACTTTCCTCCACCTCCTCCTCTGGTCATTGTTCCAGAGAGTTTTGAGGAACAGATGATGATGGCTATGGCTGTGTCTTTGGCAGAGGTTCATGCCACGACCACAACTAGTGCACCAACTCAAGTTACTTGGCAGTGAAAATAGGGTAACTCATGGGGTCTGAATCTGATTATCATTTCATTCATATAATGTCTGTTCTTATAGGAAGAAAGAAAAGTAAAACAGAAAATTTCCAGTTTTTAATAGAAAAAAGTTGGGTTTGTGTTTAAAGCTTCTTATGTTATTTATTTATATCTCTATGGTTACTATTTCTGTTTGATCTTCATAGGCAAATAGTGAAGTTGGAATGTTTTTGTCTCTTTGATAGTAAATGAATGAGAAAGACAAAGTCAAAGCTGGAGATTGTTTACCAAAATAGTGTAAAGGGTTTAGCCTTTTTTAGGGGTTTAACTTGGGGGTTTCTCACCTTTCTTGTCACTTACACATTTTCTAGTCATTTTTTGTCAACATATCTTAAGATGAAATTGTTTAGATAATCCTGATTTATGACTAGCAACTAACCAATTTTCGCAACATTTATTATCTCGATTGCAGCATTAGGGTCTTTATGTGTTCTGATTCTAAGTTCAAAACGGGATTAGGTGGGTCTTTATTCTTTAATTTTTACACTCTCAAAAGTTCAGTTATTTGAATTATTACCAACATCATCATTAAAAAACAACAAGTTAAAAGGTACTAGTTGTTACTGGTTAGTTGCTAGTACATATTACTATCATAGTGGCACTGAAATTTACTTACAAATTTATTTTAGACGATTCCTAATTGTCAACTTATTTAACACAAGCTTGAAGGTGCATTATTTCAGTTTTCAAATGTTATATGCAAAACAACAAAAAAGGGAAAAGAGAACGTTAAATAACTTAAAAAAAAAGAGTTTGAACTTTGTGGGAAACCGACAAAAAGAAAGAAACGATGTCAGACCTATTGATTTCAATAGTAAATGTAATAAAAGTAGACATATGTATATACAATCTATGTGGGATTGTTTCAAATTCAGCTCTTAAAGTTACAATTATCACTTTATAAATATCTGTTTATATCTAGATATTAATATGTCATGTTTGAGTCACTCAAATGATGCAAAGATACGGAATCAAAGAATAATAAAAGGGTGAATTTAGCCAATATCCTCCAATAATCTGACAATTAAAAATTTGGAGAGATTAATAGATAATTAGTTTTTGAGGAGAGATGATTTATTGTTTACACCCAAAATATCCTTTAATTTTAATTTATTTACATGTAATGCCATTGATCTAAAACCTGTTTTCTGATGTTATATATCGGAAACACTGTTCATCAAATACAAACTGATTATACTGTTTATGGCCTGAAAACTCAAAATAACTATTTAATTATCATGCTAACTAATATGATATCGAGATAACTATTCGATTACCATGTTAACTAATATGATATCGAGATAACTATCTAGTTACCATGGTAACTATTATAGTACCATGATAACTATTCGATTATCATGTTAACTAATATAAATATACCTATAATACTCATGTTAACGTCTAACATAAACATATATTTACCAATCAAAATTAGAAATTAACATGATAACAGTACTAATACTGTCATTATAAGTTAACTTTATAAGTTATTTTGATAATAACATAACCGACACTAGAATTACCGTTGCTAACAATATTGTTATCATCTGTTGTCAGAGTTACCATCGCTTTTATTTTCTTTCGCCGGAGTATTGTGTGATGAGAGAGAAAGAATATTGTAATTAGATTGAAAGTACAAGGGTAAAATGGATTTTTATTAATGACTAGTTAATGTCAGAACAACAGCTTTTTATCACTTAATTAATGTATTATCCAAGGCTATACATTACAATTTCCCATAATAAAATGTAATAAAAGTGAAAAACATTATGATGATCAAAGTGTAAAATGTGGGACCTTACCTTCAAAGAGAGCAAAATTACACTTTTGTCCTTTTCTTCCCCAAAGGTCCTTTCCTCTTATCACCAGCTTTATTTCAAAAATCTTCAAACGTCTCTCTTTATTCTTGGATTGAGAGAGAGAAGTGCCTCGAAATAAATCTCCACTCTTTTCTCACTCTCACTCTCACAACAATAACAACAAAAGCTATACGACCTTTCTCTTCTCTCCACATCTTGGGTTTTCTTGTCTCTGTGCTCTTGTTCTTATTAACCAAATTAACCACACCACCAAATTCAAAATATTTCCTCTTATTTGGTCTTCTTCGACCACTTATCTATACTATCGCAATTACTCTCTCGTATTCCATTGCTAAGGAGAAACAGAGCAAGTAGTCAGATTTCAACATTTTCCTGATCTCTCCTTCAAGGTTAGTGAGTTTCAATACTTCTGAAGTTGCCTAGAAAGTAAAAAACATGTATTTCTCCTGATTCAAGAATTTATGTTTCTGGGTTTGGTGAAAGATTGAACATTTCTATCTTTAATCTTCAAATAGAGCATTTGAGTGAAACAAAAAGCAATTTTTAAAACAAAAAAAAAGAAGCAATTTTCGTTCTTTCCCTTCTCTGCTTTGACTCCGGTAGTGAAATCTGTTTAAAGAGAGAGTCACGCGCACTTAGTGGCGCGTGTCTCGTAATCTCCTCTTGAGTCGTGCATCCGACTAATTAAACAAGCTAATGCATCTGCTTTATTCTCTAGGGAATGCTTTAACTTTTAATCAGATCATAGCCTTTGGAGACTCAACAACTTCAATATCAGAATGCCAACAAAACCAAGGTAATTGATTTAGAATTGAATTTGGTTAGTCTCTATGTTCCTGAAATGAGTAAAGTTGCAATCTTTTGTGTCATCTTGTGATCTGAGTAGTAGTATTAGAGGAGTTTCAGAGTTGCCTCTGAGGCAAGCTCCAAGGTTGAGGACATTATCAACAACAACATCATCAGCTTCCTCTGATCCGCATCACCTTCACCGTCCGATTACAGACCGGAGTCCAAAGCTCGGTCTTGACCGTAGATCATCACCGAGGAGTGGTGGTGGGCCTCACACGGATCCGCTGACTCAGAAGAAGCTTGGAAGTCGCATCTTTGGATTGGAGACACAGCTTGGACAAGCTCAAGAGGAGCTGAGGTTGCTCAAAGAGCAGTTGGCTAAAGCTGAAGCTGCCAAGAAACGTGCTCAAGAAGAGCTTCATAAGAAGAAATCCAAGAAAATAAAACCTAAATCTCCTGCTCTAGTGGAAGGATCTAAGACGAGTGAGAGAGACGATGTTCCTGGTGATGGAGGTGGAGAGACTGATGTGTTTGAGGTTCTTCTTGTTGAGAAGACGAAGAATGATGATGAATTGGCTTCAAAGGAAGACCAAATCAATGTGTTGAAAGCTAGACTTTACGATATGGAGATACAAAGGGTATCACTTGGGAAGGAGAATGAGAGCTTGAAGGATCTGTTAAAGAAGACGGATTCAGAAATGTCCAGCGCAAAGGCGAGAGAAGATGAGATTGTTTCAAAGGTTAGTCAGATTGGGGAAGAATTGGAAGAAAGCAACGAGAAGACGGAGGAGCTACAGAAGAAGCTTGAATCCGTGGAAGAAGCAAAAGAGAGTCTAGAAGCAGAGATGAGGAAGCTGAAGGTACAAACGGAGCAGTGGAGGAAAGCAGCAGATGCTGCAGCTGCGGTTCTATCTGGAGGAGTTGAGATGAAACATGGTCGGTTCGCAGAGGGGTCTGGCTCAATGGAGAAGCATTTTGCAGGACGGTTTGTGGGATCACCGGGAATGGGTGATGACTCTGATGACGGGAGTGGGAAGAGGAAAAGTTCAGGGATAAAGATGTTCGGTGACCTGTGGAGGAAGAAAGGTCAAAAATGAAAGTGTGACATAGAACAAAAAGGTAGCGTGTGATTCAAGGAAGCATTTTCTTACATGGTTGTGATTATCTAAGTGTGTCTACGAAATGATGGCTCTCATCATTCCGAATTATGTAGAGAGTTCTAGTGATGAATGAACATTTAGACAATGATTGTGCTGCTGCTTCACTTTTTTTTCGAAATTCTAATTCAGTTGCCAGATTTTGCTGATTCTTGATCAATTCTCTTTGAGTCTTGTCATAGTCTAGACTCTATACCTCTAAACTTATACTAGATCACTAAATGTTTTGGCTCCGTTACTCGTTATAGAAACTTTTACTAGTAAACAACGTGAAGGAAAAAAATACAACTTTTATACATAAACAAGTTGGTCCATGCATGTGAATTTGACAATACAGTGACAAGTCACTTTCCCTTAAAAGAATGGCGCAATCTGTAAGTAAATGACACGTTTTGTATACATCACTTAACATTTTTGGCTACCAAAATCAAAGTCTCGGACCACATTCGACGTGTAATATTGAGATTTTCGGTGGCAATGTCTTTATCAATATCTTTAATACTGTTAAAAAGTTGTTAGCCATAAAGTGTTACAGGTTTGATCCAACAACGTATAATAATATAATATCCTATCAGTAGTTATTCTATGACCAAAGATTCTTATATTCTGTCAATTACTCTAAATACAACTTGATGTAATAGACTATAGTGTACAATCAAAAATGCAATACTGGTATTAGAAAAAAAAAAAAAAAAAAGAACAGTCTCATTCTTACAATTATTGGATCACCATAAACTTGAAACATACATATACCGATATATATATATATAGCACACTTATTTGACCTACAAATCACGAACAAAAATTATAAATCATTTAACGGTAAATTTGTTATTTTATAGTTTTTCTTTCGAATGGTTGAAGTCTGTTATCAGACAATCTAGACTTGTAGGCAGAGTTTCTATACTCAGACCAAGTGAACTCTTCGTACAGTCTCTCGTCTTCATTGTCTACAAGACAAGTCAACGGAGCGATTCTCTGAGTCAACGAAGGTCCAGCAAAGTAAATCATAGAAACCCTAGATTTCTTGCTGTTTGCTACAACCCTATGCCTCACGCTCTTGAACCTCCCATTTGTCATCACCTGCAAGATCATCAACAACAGCAACAAAGTTTAAATCTTTTTGATTATCATCGATCGATCACAGCTCAAGGGATTGGTCTGAGCTTCAGTTTAATGATTGAGACTGACCTGGAGAGAGTCTCCGACGTTGAAGAAGAAGGAGGAGTGATCGGAAGGAACAGAGATCCAGGAGCCGTCAGTTAGATTGATTTGGAGACCAGAAGTGTTGTTAGATCTTAAGACGGAGATGATTTGAGGATCAGTGTGTTCGCCAAAACCAATCACATTCTTGTTGATAAGAGGGCATGGAGGATAATGATTAAGCCTGAATATCGAATCAGCGTTTTGATCAGAGACAAGCTTGCTAAGTGTGTTCCTCGGCTTGATCTTTAACCCATCAGTAATCATCTCCAACACATCGCATGTCATTTTTCTTACTGATCTTGTGTACTCTTCCAATGCGTTTCTGCATAATAAAAAAAAACAAAACTTTTGATTACTAAAGACACAGCATGAGCTAAAAACAGAGGATAAAACAGAGCACGAAACAGAGTATGAAAACGAAACAGGGGACAGTAAAAAAAACAGTTAAAACTGACCTGAAAGTTTCCGGGTTTTTCAAGAGACCCGGAAGGAATGGATCGGAGCCGGAAGCGAGATTAGCATTCATCAACAAGTACTCAACCCAACCAACGTCACCATTCCGACCAATCTTACTGTTCCCGTATCCAAATGGATAACCTGCGAGTTGGGTTTTCTCTGACTTGGGCAATGAGAAGAAGTCGACGGCCTCGTGTTCCAGAACAGAGACTAGCTCCGAGGAAACGCCATGGTTGATCACCTTGAAGAAGCCAAAGTCTTCACAGGCTTTGACGAGGGCGTGTTTGGATTCGGGGTCAGAGATATCTATAACTGGGATTTGAGAAAACCCGGGTTTTGGTTCTGTGACCGGTTTAGACAAGACCGCCATTGTTGTTATATTTGTTTGTTTCAGAGATTTTCTCTTTTTTGGGTGTCACTTTTGATAGCTTTCAAGGCTGAGATATCGAGTTATGTACTCGGAGGAGTGTATATATAGCAGAGGAGAAGATAAAAAATCTTACAATGCCGTACGATCAAACTGTTCAAAACTCAAGCTACTATATCAATTATTTTTCTCCAATGTATCAATATTCAATATCATTAAAAATTGATTTTTTCTAAATAGTAAAAACTTTCGAATTGCTCGTACATTGTTATTCTTCAAAATAGGTCGTGTATGTTATTTTTGAAAAATTATATGAGATAAAAACATAAAATATTTGAGAGCGAAAGGAAATTGAGCTTTTATGAAAGTTAGTTGGCTGACAAATATAATAGCTACTTTCGTACTAGTTTATCCCAATATATTTGTATAGTTTTCTATTGATTTTTTTTCTTCATGAAATGGATAATTTGACTCTCAAAACTCAAACCGTCCATATCCAAACACCGACGCTTGTCCTCGAATCAACCAGTACGATGAATCTAATTAGACTAATTTAAAATAATGTTTTTCTATGTTCCTCCGAGTTTTGTAACGAATAACGATCTTAAACTTTAGAGATATTGTTTTGATACTTGTCACCAACAACTTCAGAGAAGATGCGTACGTTATGGTTTGGAATGGATCCGAGTGTTTCTCTTTGCCACCACATAATATACAGCTAGATAGCGTTTTGATATATTTCTTGAAAAAATAATACTTATAATCATATCAAATCAGATTCGTGGTCCAAAACTCTGTAATACTGATGTTCAAAACGTAATAAATAGTCGCTGCCACACCTGAAATTCCAGGCCAAACCCCGAGTTATTACTCGATGCACGTAAAAGTTCTGGTGCTTCTAGTAGACTAGCAGTCAAAACGAGCCACCAATAATTTTGGTATATGATAGCATTTTTGGTCTTATCCATATGGCAAAATCTCTGTATAGTCAAAGAGATCGTTAGACCGCACATTCTTGGTAAATATCTAAAAGATAAAATGAAACATGTAACATTTGTCGCATTAAAAACTTGGTCTCAGTCAGTCATCGTTTATCTTTACGCAGTCAAATTAGATTTGAATCACTCTCGGACAAGAACAAAACCTCTAAAAGAGTGTTTCACTTAGTCCATATCTTCAAACATTATCTTCGGTTTAGAGACTTTATTCCGACTTCCGAGTGCCAAACCGAGAACGAGTTTAACAGGATCATTCAAGCTTAGATAATTTTTCCAAGACCATCGATTTATAGAATTAACGGTAAAGCTTTATATCGGAAAAATATGGCTTAATACGTTATATAATGCAAGATGGCAAAAAAAGGAAAAGAAGAAAGAAGTTGTAAAATGCATGCCAAAAGCGACGCATGTCAGTGAAAGTTACGTGGCAATGTCACTGTCAACGAATCAACATTGTCTTGTTCCATTCTAGAGTCCGTTATTGTTCCACGTAGGCTATATCCCGTTACCGTTTTTGCCCTTTCTTACTGTTGATACTGTTATGCTCCGTTCAAGTTTAGTAATTGGCAAAAGGATATTACAAAAATACGTATTGTGTTTGAATCGGATCTAACATTATGTCACATTATATTCATGGTTGAAAACTTGAAGTTAATTGTGTTAGATGTAATAATAAAGAAACTGCCTCCATGGACCATGGTGCTACCGATCTACCACATTTTGTAACTCGTTAGCAGTGTAACCATTGCATTTTAACTTTGATGCACTGTAGACTAGCTCAATGATCCACATTTCAATTTTCACAAGTAGAGAATAGTTGAGAGTTGATGATACACATTATTATTATTTACTGTTAGGAAAATATACATATAATACACAGTATTAGCCATTTAGTAATCCTTTAACCAGAAAATATCTATAATTTTATAATCTTCCGGCTCTTCTAATTATACGTAATGAGGGTAACTAGAAATACTATAAAACATCGATTTTTCTTCAATTATCAATTAAAAAATCATCATGGAACAAAATTTTGCTTTTTATGCATATAAATATCTAACGAATAAAGTTTCTTAGAAGACACGTAGCCCATAACAAATAAATAAATAAAAAGTTGAAGGGTACATGAGATGCCACGTACGAGGCAATTCGACGAGAAGCAAGTCGTGTGTTTAAGAAAAAAGATTCGAAAGAAGAAAGAGCTTCGCATTGGTCGTGTCTACATGGTAGGTTCCTCGCATGTCCACACCATTTAAAGTTTTGATGTGAGTTAGCTAATAATGTTAGATTCTTTACCCAAAAAATAATAGTAGTCTTCGATTTTCCGTTCTTCAATAATTACTAACAACAATAATAACAATAGTTGTTTTCGATTTGAATAATACAGTGTCATCTATGGACTGAGGTAAGTGATTGGATTGCCATGGAGGGACAGCTGAGAAGCAAGAGCCGACATGTACGGACCAACACCAAATAACATTACATACAATTATTAATATTCGGGTTTAAACGCCATATTTATACTGTTAATTCCATTATACAAGCAAAGATGAACTATTATGTCGGTTCATTTTATTTCGGTATAAACAGTCTAGAGTTTAGACTATATATAAAAACAGTTTAGACTATACGTTTAAAGGCCAAACCAAATGTTTTATACGTCGCTTGTCTATAAACTACTACTGGTTAGATTACCAAAAAAAGACAATTGCTTATTAATTTACACTATCAGTTAAGATGGTCGATCGTTGAATCAAGATGTCTTTTAATCTTGTTATTCTCTAAACATTGTGAAAAATGGATGTCGTCGAATATTGATAAGAAGATTTACGATCCAACCTATAGTCAGCAGGTGAGTCAATAAAATATCCCATAAAATAAAACTACAGAAATATTTTTAAAAAAATGTATGGACAATATCTAAGGTTGGTTTCAAGTTGTTTCGTCTTTTTTTGGGTGTTTGGTTGCTTCAATTATGTGTAATATGTCGGGCCAAAAATGACACGATATCCCATCCATTGTTATTTTGATTTTTATGTTTTTACCACTTTTACTTTCTGTAAGTAACACGACAACGAACCTCCAAGTCCAACGATCTGGATAGAAGCAACATAGCATGAGAGAACGAATGACGATGATGGGCCTGTTTTGGGCTTTTTATATGCAAAATTCTCGGGGTTTTCCATAAAATATAGATGGATTTTTATTTGTATTTTCATTTTTCAGATTTCTAATCATAATACATAAGCACAATATCAGTGTTAACAAGCCTCGATTCATAGTGAGTGATTCGTGAATGCAGTATCATTATCATATTACAAAAAACCAAATATGTTTACAGGGAACTTCGTACGTAGTATAGTATACAGGATCAAACAGTGCATTATAAGAAACGGGTCCACCTAATTTCTCGAAATTGTCAAATGTCTAATCTTGATCATACTACATCCAACGGTTGAGAATAGAGATGTTTCACAGTCATCAAGAATGGTACAAAAGTTGGAGATCCCACATTCTGACATGTTTCGTATCAAGTGGCTTAGAGCCACGTGGAGAATGTCTGTATGCCACGTCCCTAAGATGATAATTTGACCCATATACTGTACAAAGAAAAACTACAAAACGGAATTAATAATTTACCAACGACTTTAAAGTGCAATTGTAGTTGTGTACTACTTTTATGATTTTCTCAGAAAATCTGAAAACTCTGTGGCATTTTGACTCTGTCTATAAACCAGTAAATCTTACTCTCATTCTCTTGTTAACATCAGATCTTTTGGATTTGGTTACTTACTCTCATTCCAAAAATTTTAAATAGTCATTGTGTTAAGGGGAAAATGATAAATATCATAATAATTAACCAGAATTTTAAATTCATTATTAAGCCGGTTTTATCATAATCTCTCTTAATCCAATTGCTATTTTGATACATATAACAACCGGATTGTGTGAGGACGTAACCTCATTACATGTTAAACGGAACCATGATCTCATTAACTCTACCAATGATCTCGAACGGCGCGTTGTAACCGGCGACCAAATATCCCTTGGTCTTCTCAACGGGGGCAATCCATTTAGTGCCCTTGAGGCTAGCCATAAGAGCTGCAGATTCTTTCTTGGCTGCATCATCCGACACCCACCCACCGAACTGCCTCACGGCAACGTAGGTTGGGTTCCATTTCTGCACGTGGAGGTCATCGGCCAGAGGTGGGTTCTGTTGGTTTGCCTTGGGGATGTAGAAGGAGACGGTGTAGGCTGATTTTCCGGGGGTTACTTGTGTGACCACCGGAGCTGTCATACTCATCCTTGTCTTGCTCTTGTTATCTCCTTGAATGTAACTAAATAATCTGCACCCCCCAAAAAAGAAAAGCAATTTCAGTTTTGGTTTTAAGTTAATAAACGTAGGACCCTCTAACATAATGGTAATTTAAAAAACAAAAAACGAAACAAAATCAAATCTTATTCGGTTTGATTACGAGTTTTGTCCAAAATACACAAATAGTGAATCTAAATTAATTTAATAGTCAACAATCTTAACTCGACCTTTATTAGATAAAGTAACGTAAATTACCTTTTGAAACCGGTGTTGGTGGCTTGAGTCATGGATGAGGCAGGGATTGGAGCAGTGGACATCCAGACCGCAGCGTTGTACATGCGGATCTCATAGCCGTTTCCGGCTTCTACCATTTTGTAGGTTGGGCACTCGGTGCGGGCACACGTACTCGGTACGGAAGCCTGAGCACATGATACAACCACTACTAGGGTGACGCAGAAGGACAACTTCAAGATGGTTTCCATGATTTGAATAGTTTAAAAATTAATATGTTCTTGTTTTTGTTTAGATGTGATTTGATATGTCTTGTGTAATGGAGTATATATAGGTGCGTTATGAGTAATTAATACCTTTGACTAGTTTAATGTTCATTCGTTGACCCAAAAAAATAATAAAAAACTAAATAAAGTTTAATGCGTTTTTGGAAAATGAGATAATCACAGGATTGACAAGAAGAATCTGTAAAGGATTCTTTTCTTTCTATAGCCTGAATGTGAATCAAAGATTACAGACAGCCAGTTTTCCTTTTTACAGTCCGAGCCAAATGTCGTAGACAACCATTTTTCTCCTTTATACATTCTAAGTATGAACCAAATCTCTAGATAATCATTTTTTTTTAACACTTTGAATGTGAACCAACTGCTAGATACCATTTCCTTTTCTTACAATCTGAACATGAACCAACTGCTCTAGACAACCATTTTTCTTTTTACAGTCTGAATGTGAACCAAATGTTACAGCCATATTTTTTTTTCCTTTTTACAGTCTGAATATTGAACTAAACACTGTAGACAACCATTTTTCCTTTCTAAAGTATGAATGCAAACCAAACACTGTAGACAACCACCTTTTATTTCTATACAGTCTGACTGTAAACCAAATGTTGTAGACAACCATTTTTTTGTCTGTGATAGTCAACATTTCCAGAGTTTTTTTTAAAACTGATTTCAAAGATTCTAGAGATCAACTAATTCCATGCTCTCTTATTATTCCTCAATTAGTATTTTTTAAAATATATATGTGGCCACATTTTCAGAAAATAGTTGTTAATTCTTTGATTTTATTAACAAATAAAATTTAGAATTATATAAAAGGAACATAATCTGGCAATTTTAAAAACTTGAAATGAGTGATATTTAAAAAAAAAATAATAGTATCTATTATATATTAATTACCTTTATAATAATTATATTTACTCTTTCATATTTATATCATATATTTTGTAAAACAATACATAATTGACTTTCAAGATTAGTTGAGTAATTTATGTTTATTTTATTGACTTTCAAGATTAGTTGTAGTTCACAAATTTATTTAAAAACAAAATCAAAGATGATAAAAACATGTAAGACCAGTGTGATTTAACGACAGACATCCAAATTCTAAAGTTTTTCTTATGTTTAATATATTTTTTTTGGTCAAATCAAAATATTAAACCGAATAGAAGAAATATCAGAAATGTTTTTATTTTGGCTTCAATTTAGACATTTCCGTTTGGTTGAGTTACGGGTAAAAGATAAATATAATAATAATAACCAGAATTTGTATTAAGCCAGTTTTACAGTCTCCTTAGAAATCAAGGACACAGAGGTATGAGCCTATAGAACCGATCCTTAAGGTCGTTCAGAAGCTGTTACAGTCTCGCTTCTAAACCACCTCTCCTAATCCAGTTGCTAATTTGATATATATAACAACCGGATTTTGAGGGCGTAACCTCTTTACATGTTAAACGGAACCAAGATCTCATTAACCCTAGCTGTGGTCTGGGTCGACGGCGAATTGTAATCGGCGATCAAAAACTCCGGCGACTTTCCTTTGCTCTTCTCAATGGCCCCAATCCATACAGTGCCATTGTTGCTAACGACCGTGAGGCTAGTCATCAGAGCTGCAGCTTCTGTCTTGGCTACGTCGTCCGTCACGTACCCACCGACCTGCCTCACGGCAACGTAGGTTGGTTTCCATTGCTTCACGTGGAGGCCATTGGCCCGAGGTGGGTTCTCTTGGTTTTTCTTGGCGACGTAGAAGGAGACCGTGTAGATTGATTTTCCCGGTGTTGCTTGTGTCATCACCGGAGCTGTCATATTCATCTTCGTCTTGCTCTTGTTATTTCCTTTTATGTAACTAAGTAATCTGCAACCCAAAAAATAACAAAAAGCAATTTCAGTTTTAGTTTACGTTTACGTTAATAAACTTGGGGAAACTCTCACACTATGTTAATGAAATGTAAAACCGAAAGAAAACCAAATCTTATCCGGTTTGATTACGATTACAAATGGTGAAGCTGAACCAATTTAATAATTTAAAAGTCAATAATTTTTTTTAAAATTAAATTTCAATTAATTCAAATTTATTAGATATACCCCACTATATTAAATAAAAAAAAATTAGACTGAAAAAACATAATTCACCTTTGGAAACCGGTTTTGGTGGCTTGAGTCATGGATGGAGCGGGGATGGGAGCAGTGGACATCCAGACCGCAGAGTCGTACATGCGGATCTCAAAGCCGTATCCTGTATCAACCAGTGTGTAGGCAGGGCACTCGTAGCGGTCACACGTTCCCGGACGCATCCCCATAGATGGGTTCCACGGTGCGGGAGCCTGAGGCTGAGCACATGCTACTACCACGACTAGGCTGATGCAGAAGGACAGCTTCAAGATGGTTAAACCGGTTTCCATGATCTGAATAGTTTTCAAAAGAATATTCTGGTTTTTGTTTAGAAAAGATTTTATGTCTTGTGTAAATGGAGTTTATATATAGAGGGGAAAGAGATGTAATAATAGAGAGTACAAGTTGTTATTAATACCTTTGAATAGTTAATGGTCGTACAAGTTTGACCTATAATTGGAGTTAGATAACAAGACAATTGTGAAATGCTTTTCGTAACTAAATGTGGAATCTGATAATGTTTGTTATGTTTAACGTAGATTAATTTGCCTAAAAAAAGTTCATTGACAATGGATAGTATTTGTAGTCAACAAAATTGATATACAACAAAGACTTGTATAAACGAAAAAGGCACAATCTGAATAATTGTGTGAGTATTATTCAACAATGTAAAAGGATATTTCAGTTGGGTAAGCGGCCTTAATTCAACTAAATAATGCTAAATATCTGGAAATAGTAACCAAGATTGGACTGAACTGAAGTGATGAAGAGATTTCGTTTACGACTTATCTTTTGATAAGAGATATTTTCGTAAAGGTAACCGTAAACGCAGCCGCAGCCGTTCTAGTTGGTAGATACTTGAATGAGAAAGTCTCTCATCTAAGTTTTCTTGATTTGATGATATTCATTTTCGTTTTTCTTTTTCTTCTTTCTAGCTGGGAGATTTTGTTTCCGCTAAACTTGACCTTTCAACACATAATATGTGGGGTTTGGAATTTTTGTGCCGTTGAGGAAAATAGACTTTACATATATTAGAGCATGACAAAATATCCGCTAGTTTCTACATTGTAATATAAAAGGTAGGAGATGTATCCTCTAAGAGTTTTAACGTGTATATACACTAATTCTTTGGTACAAGTTTAACATATTGCATTTTGTATCAAAAAATTGTTTGGTACAATGTACCTCTAAAAATATCTTTAAATCTGTGTATCTATAGATTCTATACGAATTCTTTTAATTTTTCAAGGAAACAAATTTTTGTATCTGTATGTAATTAATATGCCAAGAAGGTAAGTATTTCATTTTGCAGCCTGTCATGTGTTAGAGATAAGATTATGCAAATGAAAGAAGAAAAAAATAAAAATTGGAAAGTCTTAATTTGGACTTTCGACAACACAACGTCCGTTATATTTTCTTAGTCTCTAATTAATCTCTCTCGTATCTCCTCGTAATTAACTACACCAAACCCATCATATCCCTTACATACGAAGACTCAAGTCAAAAAGAGTCTTCTTATCTTCACAAAAGAATCCATCTCCTTCTCTTGCCGATTCAATCCCATGGAGAGACCACCATCATCGTCTGATGCAAGGGGAGAAACTATCCCTGATCATGAGTTCAACACCGACGATCAGATCAGCGAACTCTCCACCGACCTGTTGCTTAAGATCTCGTCGACACTGTCCACGGAAGAGATTGTGAGGACAAGTGTTATGTCAAAGCGATGGATGGATGTGTGGAAGGAGACTTCTTGTCTTTTGTTAGACTTGCGTAAGATCCCCAAAGCGTCCACCGTTGATATCGCTAAATCGGTGACTAAGGTCTGTTTCTTTTCTCATTTTATTATCTTAGGGTTTTGGGAGAAAGAAAATAACATGAATAGATCTGGTTATAATCTGATGGTCTAGCTAGGTTGATGTCTAAGTGAATAATCAAAACCTAGATAACATATTTGCTAACACCATATTTAGATTCCTCATTCCTGTTTATCTGAGATATTGAAATGGTTTGGCGATGTTTTTGTTGTTGTTGTTGAACTGTCTTGAAATCTCGCATGTGTGCAGAAGATTGATGAGATCATAACTAAAGGGATTGTGATAGTTGTAGGAGAGTTTGTTAATTTCTTTCCTTTGTATTTAAGACATCATCGATCGACTAACAAGGGATGAAGAGAAAATTATGTTACTTGTGTTTTAAGTCTTTGAGACTTGTCTTGTTCTTGATCTATATTGGTTTGTCTTAATCTGGGACCTAACAAAGATGAAGATAAAATCATATTAATTTCTTGTAAAATCCAGTGTAAATTGGGTTATTTAATGTATCGTGAACCAGATTCAAAGAGTTTGGTTGTTTTCTTGATAATTTATTGCAATTTAAATGTAAGGATTCGTGCATCATCTATCAAAGATGTATGTCCTAAATCATTTTTTTGGCTGTGTAGGTCATAAAGGACCACCTTGGCCCTTTGGAGAGATGCACAATCAGCCACTACTCACGTCAATGTGAAGGCAAGGGGGTGGAGAGTTGGATTCAATCATTGACTCATCAGAAACACACCAAGGATCTCACTCTTGAAAACCATTTTGAAGGAAAGAGCGAATCGAGAATCACACTTAACCTGCCTCCAGGGACACTTTCCCATCCAGACCTGGAATCACTCTCGCTAAGTTGCTACACCTTAGAAGCTCCACATGCATTCAACAACTGTTGGAATCTGAAGCGGCTCAACCTAGATGGGATTTTAGCTGAGATTGGAGTCATGAATGAAGTCCTTGTGTCTTGCTCTTCTCTCGAAGCTCTGACACTACGTATCATTTTCTACACAAGCAGGGGTGTTTTGAAGATTGGGAACCCAAAATTAAAGTTCTTGTATCTATCTTGTTCAATGATTGATGGGGTTGAAGTGTCTACACACAGTCTGGATATCCTCTCCATTGGATCTCTCGTGTGTGTGTTTAAGAACTTCATCATCGCAAACCCTAGACTCCAACAGTTCAGGAGGAGCTTCTGGCGTAGAGGAGCATACTTTGCTCACACCACCTATGACATAACCTGCTCCAATCAGGTATATCTCTTTCATTCATCTGTACAATTGTTATGTTGTGAGAAATAAATGATGTTAATACTTAATTTGACATGTGTGACATATTTATGAATATAAGGAGAAGAAAAGCATTGGGCATGAACTCATGACAAGCGGATCCGGAGATTTTGTGAAAACGTTTTCAGGGATTTCACTGGGTGTAGACATGACAAACACAAAAGAGGTTGAGATGCTCAAAGAAGTCTTGTTTGCATGGCCTGAAGAATTGGGAGAAATTGAGATCTTTTTCAAGGTACTTTCATTTCATGTTTCAAATTATAGCAATGACAACATTTTAGCCAATTTTCTATCTTCCATAACGTTTTCCTCCTAATATTAATACAACTTTTTTTTTTTGCATATGTATTAGGACGACAATTCTCCTATGCAAAAAGGTGAGTCTTCCACTGGAGGAACACATAAGAAGTTTTGTGAAGACACAAAACAGCTAGCCAACACTGGTTTCCATGCATCTACTGTGTGGCTAATGAACTTTAGTGGTTCACAAGAAGAGTTTGAGTTAGCCTCGTATTTTATAACACAAGGGATTGTTGTCTGGTGCATGGAAATTGTGCTTCCTTCGTCGGTTTCTCCAAGTAAGAAGCTGGAGTTAGAAGCAGTAGTGGCGAAGTTGAAGAAACTTCCAAAACGTCACAAAGGACTTGGTATCCAGATTTGGTATTGATATTTGGGTTGAATTTAAGACCGGGAAAAACCTTGTAGAACCTGGCTTGTTGTTTTTGAGTTTTTGTGTGTGTTTGAAGTACTTCTTTTGGTATTTGTTTTTATGTTTCCGATATTTGGGATCTAAACTGTATTAATCTGACTGTAATCAGATTGTTCTTTTGAGTTATATGTTTTGTCTTTCAAATGATGTTTTATCTCATATCATCTCATCTTCATATTATTAACAAAATTTTTAAGTAAAACAGTAACTTCTCTTAAGATACGATACTGCAAATTAAAAAATTAAAATAATTGGAAAGTCTTGTGGGTATCTCGCTAATTAATGTGTCTCCATTTCTTTCTCTCATTTTCATTTCTCGTAATTAACCTCATTTTCATTTCTTTCGTACTTACGAAGAGTCTCAAGTCCAAAAAGTCTCTTTTCTCCTTGTCCCTCATTTTCACAAAAGCATTCATCTTCTTCTCTTGGCGATCCAATCGATGGTTGGATGTGTGGAAGGAGACGACTAGCCTTTTCTTAGACATGCAAAGGATCCGCAAAGTCAAAACTCCTCCGTTCTGTGTTACTCTTGATGCTAACTCGGTGACTAAGGTCAGTGTATTTTATTTTAGGGTTTTAATCGTTTCTTCACACACAAAAAAAAACCCTAGACTTGAAAAGTATACAAATCCATATAAGTTTCTTGTAAAATCCAATGTAAATTCGGTTATTTAATGTAGTGTTAACCAGATTCAAAGAGTTAGGTTGTTTTCTTGATAATTTAATTGTAAAGAATCGTGCAGCATGTATCAAATATATGTCATAAATCATTTTTTGGATGTGAAGGTTATAATGGACCACCGTGGCCGTTTGGAAAGATGCACAATCTTCTACAACTCACGGCAATGTGAAGACCGGGTGGTGGTGGAGAATTGGATTCAATTATTGATTCATCAGAAACACATCAAGCATCTCAGTATTCAAAGTCATTTGGAACCAGAGGACAAACCGAGAATCACACTTCACCTGCCTCCAGAGTCACTTTCCCATCCAAACCTTGAATCACTCTCGCTAGGTTCCTACGGCTTCAAAGCTCCACATGCATTCAACAACTGTTGGAATCTAAAGCGGCTCAAACTCGATGGCATTTTCGCTAAGATTGGAGTCTTGAATGAAGTCCTTATGTCTTGCTCTTCTCTCGAAGCTCTTACACTATATATCATTTCCTTCAAAACAAGTGGTGTTTTGAAGATTGGGAACCCCAAATTAAAGTTCTTGTATCTATCTTGTTCAAAGATTGATGGGGTTGAAGTGTCTACACACAGTGTGGAATTCCTCTCCATTGGATCTATCTTGTGTCCGGTTGAGAAGTTCATTATCGCAAACCCTAGACTACTACAGTTTAGGAGAAACTTTTGGAATATAGGAAATTGCGTTCCTCACACCACCTATGACATAAACTGCTCCCATCAGGTACTCCCCTTGCATTCAATTGTATATTGTTTTTATTTTGAGAGATACTTAATTTTGACATGCGTGACATATTTATGAATATAAGGAGAAGAAAAGCATTGGGCATGAATTCATGATAAGTGATTCCAGAGATTTTAAGAAAAGGTTTGCAACGATGTCGGTGAGTGTAAATATGACAAACACAAAAGAGGTTGAGATGCTCAAAGAACTCTTTGTTTCATGGCCTGAAGAATTGGGAGAAATTGAGACCTTGTTCAAGGTACGTTCATATAATGTTTCAAATTATAACAAGACAACATTAACCAATTTTCTATCTTCCATAACGTTTGCCTCTTACTAATACAAGTTTTTTTTGCATATGTATTAGAACAACAATCTTCCTGTGGAAGAAGGTGAGACCTCCATTGGAAGGACACATAAGAAGTTTTGGAAAAAGACAAGACAGCTTCCCAACACTGCTGTATTACATGCATATTGTGTATGGCTAAGTAACTTTAGTGGTTCACAGGAAGAGTTTGAGTTAGCCTCGCATTTGATAACACAAGGGACGGTGCTCACGAATATGATAATTCGACCATCGTCGCGTTCTCCAAGTAAGAAGCTGGAGATAGAAACGGTAGTGGCGAAGCTAAAGAAAGTTCCAACCCGATACGAACCTGGTATCGTATTGAGTTAATGATATTTGGGTTGAATTTAACCAATAGCAATAGACCGAGAAAACCCTTTTGAACCTGGTTTGTTCTTTGGAATTTATGTGTTTTCAAGTATATTTTTTGGTATTTTTGTTTTTAATTTTATGTTGAAGATCTGTATAATTTGACTATAATCGGATTTTTGAGTTGTTGACTATAATTTGATTAACTATGTTATAACCGCTTTTGCAAATATGATTGATTGCCTGATTGGTAACAGAAGGAAAATTCAGGATTCAAACAATCAAAACTTGAAAAAATGAAAAATATTAAACTTTGAAATTTTGAAGTTAAAAGTCATAATTCTCCTCTGTTTTCTTGTAACAAAGATGTACAAAATCATATGCTTTTTGCTCATGTGTATTCATAGTAACAGTTTCCATAGCCTACAAATAAGGTAAAAAATAAAGGAAATTACAATCTGACATTTTTCTATGATAATATTTTTTAGAAAGACGAAGAAGAGAAGGATCTGACTCACTAGGATTAGTTATGACAATGAGTCCAGAGTTCTTGAAATTACAGTTCCAGTAGTTTCTTCCATTAGCTTGGTAATAAAGATTCATGGCGATAGAAGCATGGTTTATGAGATTACCGGGGGAGTAACATGGACACCCACTAGAAAGAATTCGACAATCGACATGAGAACATGCGTAGTTTATGTTATCAAGAAGCGTTGCTTGATCCGAAGATGGTTTGGCCACACACCAAGTCTTCATCTATAACAACAACTTAGAACAAAATTCACTGAGTAAGGAGACAAACATCGCTGTACTTTTTGCACCAAAAAAAAAAAACATCGCTGTACTTTATGATAATTGGTCTAATAAGCATATATCTACCTCTGCGTTGACTTTGATGAAGTTGCTTTCTGTAAGAAAACAAAATGAGAATGAAACTGTTAAATAAGACTATTACACTGAACTTGGAAATCTTACGATTAACTAAAAACTTTGAATGACATGTAATGTAAATGAATTGATTACCTGAGGAGAGGTAGAAGAAGATGAGAAAGCAAAGGCACATCCATGCTTTAGCCATTGTTTGATTTCGTCTGAATGAGAACTCTTCTACAATCATTTCTATTAATAAAACTGATGAGCAAGTGCATCAGTGATCTTTAAATTTAAAAACAGTTAGAAAGAAAAGCAAATATCTTTTATTTTAATACTGTTTAAACGTTTTCAGGCTTTTAAGGTGAATCATCCAGCAAATTGCTTATAGGCAAAGTAAGAGTTTTAGGCTTTTAGCACAAGTGTCAATACGAGTCTGTTTGTGAAGAACGTTTTTGAGACATCAAAACGTGAGTGGAGGCTGTGGAGCTGTAAATTAGGAAAAAAAAATGTAGATCTAAAGCACTCAAATTTATAAAAATTTAGGAGAATCTTGCAAGATAATAGTTGATGTATGTATGAAACTATAAACGATAAGGGCTTTTTGTTTATAACTCTTTATCCCTTATTTTAAGGAAAAAAGAAAGAAGAAACAGTAATATCTTCTTTTTTTTTTTTTTTTTTTTTTTGTAAAAGATCAGTAATGTCTTCTAGATTACGTTTTCACTTTTCCAGTCCATTTATCAATGAGGCGAATCTCGAAAACTTTTTTCTCCCGTGCAACTTTATTTTAGAACTGATATTTGATTGGTCCAAGAAATTAATTTTATTAAAAAAACATACTCACACGCGTAATAAATACACAAATAACTTTCACAAAAAAAGGAAAAAAAATTAGAGATAAATCAAAAGGAAGAAGAAGAAGAACGTTTTGAAATGCTGATGTATTCGAGCAATTTGACAACCTCGGTCATGGTCGGTCTATCAGCCGGTTCCGGTTCAAGACACATCATCGCTATACCAAACACATCGTTCATCTCTTGAACCGGTGATCCTCTTAACCGGATATCTATCACCACCTCTTCTCTTTGGTCTCTCACTCCTTTCACCTGCACACAATCACGACGACGTTTAATGAAACTAGAGGAAGTTAACTTTATAAAGTATTAACCAAGACAAACAACTTGTTACCCAAGTAACAAGCTTTGTTCCTTCTTCAAAAAACTCATCATCTGTTGGTCTTCTTCCGGTTAAAAGCTCCAACAGAACGACTCCGAAACTATAAACATCTCCTTTCATTGTCGCTTTACCCGTATCGAAATACTCTGTTTTACAAACACACAAGAACAAAAATCAAAACCAAACTCATTTTCTTTCATAGAAATGAATTTTGTATACGAACCAGGAGCTAAGTATCCGAATGTTCCAGCTAAGAACGTGGAAACATGAGTCTTGTCCTGCTCCATCAACGTAGCTAAACCGAAATCGGAAACCCTAGCTTCCATGTTGTGATCAAGAAGTATGTTGCTAGATTTGATGTCTCTATGGATAATATGAGGGATGCAATCATGATGAAGGTAAGATATCCCTCTAGCCGCTCAACCGCGATTCTGTATCTGGACGCCCAATCCAAAACTTTTCTTTCTCCAGTTTTCTTTCCTGCAAATGAAAAACAAAACTTGTCGCTCAAGAAACTGCTCTCATTCATAAGTTTTTGTGTTTGATGCTTTGTTTTTTTTTACCGTGCAGAAATGAATCTAAGCTTCCATTAGGCATGAGCTCATAGATTAGGAGATTGTAATGTGGAGAAGTGAAGTAGCCATGGAGAGTTACAATGTTTCTGTGTTTGATATCAGCCATCGCTTCTAACTCTCTATGGAACCCTCGGTCTCTCTCAGAGGTTCCTCTGTTTAGTCTCTTCACAGCAAAAGCTGTAGAATCATCAATGGCTAATCTGTAAACAGTTCCGAATCCTCCAGAACCAATAATGTCTTTGTTGCTTAGCTTATGTGTCTTCTTCATAAACATGTCGGAAGAAACAGAGTTGAGTAATGGAGATCTGAACATCACCATTTTTCCTCCTCCTTTGACTGCAAAATTCATGAAACATTAAAGAAATGATTATTAACCACATAAGGAAAAAGATAGATCATCACCTGGAAATCCGTTTTCATGAACAGTGTGTTTTCTCTTCCATCTTTTGTAGAGAAGAAGAGCGATTACGATTTTGCCAATGACAAAAACAACAACAGAGATTGTTATATAAAAAGTTATTTCTTTTGCATTAGCCATTGTCTCTCTGAACAAAACCTTCTCTTCCTAATCTCATTATCTGAAAAAAAATTGAAGAATAGAAGAGAAGAGACAAGAAGTTGGTTACGACTTACGTGAAAGCGGAGAAAAAAAAACAGAAAGTAGGTTTACGACTTTTTGATCCTCACGCTACAAAAGGCATTTCATGTTACTATTACGGTATGAAATGAAAACTGAGTTTATACAAAAACTATCATCCGCTTTTGTTGAAATCAATAAATGACATGTAACACTTTATGCTAAAAAAATTGTCATCATAGAGCTCGTGAAAGTGGGTACCTTACCAGCTGTTGTCGTTGACTTTGTCCTCAACTAGATACAGTAAATAATAATTCAAACATCCTTGCAATGTGTAATAGTCTCATATACAACAAACAAAGATCTACAACTAGAAAAAAAGTGTTTATGAGTGTATTTTCATCAAGTGGTCATAAGATCATCAAGGTGAGATTTCCCATTGAGCTTCTGAGCAAAGAAGGCATCAAAGTACTCTTGTGTGCTCATGCTTTTGAACAAGCGTTGCTTCTTCTGTCTATCAACAAGGCTATTAGCAGGACCAATCACAGTCTCCTTTCCTGGACTATGAAACATTGCAACTGATAACCTCTCTTTCTCTGAATTCACCAACGCTCTATGCTCGATGCTTCGATATCTCCCGTTTGTTATGATCTTCACAACAACCAAAACACACACTCACATCAGAATAAGAGAGAATTATAAAGCCTTTTTTAGAGTTATTATCTCTTTACCTCTAAGATTTCTCCAACATTGACAACAAAAGCATTTCGAAGCGGTTTCACAAGAACCCACTTGCCGTTTTTCTTGATCTGGAGTCCTTCCACTTGATTCACCTGCAACAGTATTGTGAGACCTGCAGCGTCTGAATGTGGAGTCAAACCCATAACTTGCTCTGGCTGTGGACATGGAGGGTAGTAATTGATCTTGATAGATTGCCAAACATCTTGGAACAAATCTTCCATCTCTTCGCTTTTGATCTCAAGAACACTAGCCATTTTCGCAAAGAGGATCTTAGCTATGTTCTTCACTTCACAAGAGTAAGTCTCTACAGTTTCTCTGAAAGAAGAAGGTAACTTGGAGAACAAGTGAGATTTGCGTGATCGGATTGGTTGAGTGGTGAGGATGAACATGTCTCCCCAATCAAGTTTCTGATCATCTGACACAATGTTCACTTGTCCGAAACCTTCGAATTCACCACTTCTCTGCCACAGCTCCTTCTTCTCTTCCATGGAGAGATTGAAGAACTCTTTAACCTCAGTCTCTAGTTTGTCCAAGAGAGACGAGTCTATTCCATGGTTTACAAGCTGTAAGAGACAGATTGAAACCGAGAAAGAGAAAGCTTTTAATATAAATCATAATATACAAAGATTCAAGGTGTAAAAGAAGAGACTTTACTTGAAAAAATCCCCAATATTGGCAAGCGAAATCGAGCTTCTCGAGCTCGGAATCCATGGCGGAAACAGAGCACAGGCGTTTCATGTCGATGACTGGAATCTCGGAGCTCAGACTGGAATCATCGGTGACCTCAGCAGAATCTTGATCAGATCGAACATACCTCGGAGGAACAGTCGTAAAGTTCTTCTCTTTCACGATCTCTAGAACGGAAGGTACTATGAGAGAGCTCCACTGTTTTTCTCCATCGGCATCCATGGAGACTTCTAAGCACCAAGAGATGGAAACTAAAGAAAACTTTGATCCAGTTAACAGCTGATTTTCAGGCGAGAAACCGAACAAGAAGTTGAAACTGGAAAATGAAATCAGAGACAAATGAGGAAAAGAAAATCGATTTGGAGACGACGACTAGAGAATCCCGAAATTACCCTCCACAAATCACTTACTCTACAACAAAATGATTTTTAATGTTTAGAGATCAAGGAAGAAGTACAAAGAGAAATCTCAGACTAAGAAAGCAAAATATTCAAAGATTATTACACTCAGATCGTAACAAAACACAACATAACTACAAGACATAACCCTTTTGTTAATTTGTTCGACAGACTCTAGCCAAATATGGTCCTCAAAGCTGTGAAAATTTTGGGTAAAGATTCCATGAAAATTCAAACTTTCCTTTCTTTTTAGTCTAGTAGCTGTTTTGTGGCACTGCGTCTCCAAAATCCAGCCAAGACGCTACCAATAATGGAGTGACAGACGCTAGAAACAGCACACGGTACTGCAGTGAGCGGATTCCCAAAATGCTGTGCCGCAAGAACAAGTCCAAGCACCGAGTTCTTCACCAAAATCAAAGCAAAAACAAGTTTCAGTTAGTTTATAAACAGCTCTTAATACTATCTCGTTTGAGAAGACTGTTACTTACCTGCATGCCAACTTCGATAGAGATAGTTCTTGACGATGCCACATCGATTTTTAGTAATCTTGAAAACAGATACCCAAAGAGAAATCCAGAGACGTGAAGAAGCACTGAAGCCATGACTACTTGTTTCCCAGACGTGAGAATCGCCGACGCGTTCTGACCAATAGCAGTCCCGCACAGAATCGCAACCGTTCCAACCGCGATCGGAGCCAGCACAGGGGAAACAAATTTCACCAGTTTCTGAAAGTATTGGTTCAGAAATGCACCAGCCAACACTGGAAGCAGAACCACCTGTGGCCATACACAGAGAGATATGATGAAACAAACTCGCTCGCTCTAAATTCAAAACTAACTGAAACCAACCGAACCTGTAGTGTTGACATTACTAAGCCAAGAGCATCAACTGCGACATATTGTTTGGCTAGCTTCGCCGTAAGAAGCGGTGTCATAATCTATAAAACGCAACGGAGATGGAGATTACTAAAATGTGGTGCCTTTATGTGGAAATACAGATGAGACTAAGTCACACTAACCACAGCTGAAAGAGTGCTAGCTGCTGTCATCAATACTGATAGTGCCACATTTCCACTGTAACATGAACAAATAAATTCATATCACTAAGTTGTATAATGGAACTCAAAAAACTTTACTTTTGTTTGGATTTGGATTACATACCGAGCAATGTACGTGACAATATTACTTGCCGTACCTTCAAATAACAGATGATAAAAGCATCAGACCACAGCATGAATGTTATACAATGCAATCAAGTAAATAATGTAGGTATTTTTACCGCCTGGACAGCAACCAACCAATATGAGTCCGGCTGCATAATGTGACGGCAATTTCAAGAGTTTGCTCACTAGAAACGCTGATAATGGCATGACCTGCAACACCATTCATCACCAAGTTATGAACTTACCCATGCTTTAACCATTTCAATACAAAAAGTGTAAGCTGAAACTCTCACAGAGAATCATAAAACAAGAATTGAGATCAATGCAATGATAGTCAAACTACTACTCCACAAGTTTGTGTTACCAATATCAAATATCTAAATTGGTTTCCTCAAAGATCTCAACTTTCCTCAAAATTACATTAAGGGACAATGGTGATAGAGTAATTGAGAGACAAACCGACCGAGTACTGCAAAACAAAGCCAGCGAAGAGCTCTTTAGGCATCTTCAACGCGCCACGAAGATCGTCGAGGGTCAAAGTCATTCCCATTCCGAGCATCGTGACCGTAAGACCTATAATGGTCAAATCGGGAGTGACCCAATTGAACGCACTCGGTCTCATCAGCCCCAACAAGCATCCCAGAGAAACCCATATCGGAAACGCCGTCGAGACCGCCTCTCCCACAGACTCAACCCACTCGCCGAAGCTCTTCTTTCTCTCAGCAGGAAAGTCGTTCGACGAAATGCCGCAACGAGGAATAAAGTCAACTCTTCGCCTACTGCACGAGATTGGAACAGTAATCGAACGCAATTTGAGAGAAACTTCGAGAGGTCTAGGAGAAGAGTGAAGCCGAAGATGCTGAGGAGTGAGTTTAGACTTGCGGATTGAATCCGATTTCAACGGCGTTGTCACGTTTGAGAGAGAGAGAGAAATCGCTGACGCCATTTTTTCCGATCGCCCGATTCTCTGATCGGACCGATGGAAGAAGAAACCCAATCACATATACACGTGGCTCACGTGCGCTTTAGCAACGCTATTTACAAAATTAGTCCTTGGATAAAACCCGTTTCTCCAATCTACCCCCTAAACTAGTTTTTTCACTAAATAACTCTACAAAGACGCTTTAAATGCTAACGATCGAATAAATTAAGAAATCAAATCAAGTTTAGTGATTCACTCACTGACAAGTGGCTATAAATTGAATGTGTCGGTGATCTGATTCAGAATATGGGCAACTAACATTAAATGATTTGCATATCAAATATAGAAAGCTATCTATTTCTACCACATTCGCTATGTAAATTACGAAACCGTCCCTAATTAGAATATGAAGAGTTTAGCATTTATATATGATACCTACCACTAACCACGATCGCAAACGCAAACGCACTCAGAATGTGGCACAGAGTCTTTTGCTTTCCTTACTTGGTAATATTTTTTGGAAGATCCTTCTTAATTTCATACCCAAATTTAGTTACTTTCCTATAGTTATGATAAGATTTTCGAAATCGAAATTTGGACCATTTTTAGAATAGTGACATGCGAAGTTAATGTTGACAAAACGCGCATCTGAAACACGCGACTCAAGTCGCGCACCTACCCAGTGTAAATGAGAGAGAAACGAGAGGGCATTTTCGTAACTTTGAGCTGTATATAAATAATCGTCGTCGTCTTATCATCTTCTTCCCTCTCCAGGAGTCTTGTTCTCTCTATTTTTGCTCTGTTGAAGCTAAGGAAAAGACTCTTTTTTTTCAATTTTAATTCTTCCTTCTCCGTCACTTTCGCTTCTCCCTCCAAAATTCTTCTCATTTCTCTCCCTCTCCCCCGCTATATCTATCGTCTCCTCCATTTCTCTCGCTCTCTAGAATTGTTCATCGTCAAGATCTGTTAACTCAGAGGTACGTTCCACAATCTCGAAATTGTCATTGATCGTATTGCTTCTCGAAACAATCGAGATTTTAGCTCTTGTTTAAGTCCGATCTGGATCTCTAAAAGTTTCTGCAATTCAAAAATGTCGCTGTTTCACGTTCGATTTTCGTTAGATCTGATCTGATTTCATCTGTAATCTCGATCCCAAAACGCAGGAAAAACTGCGTTTTGCTTCAATGGCGTCATACACTCCGAAGAACATTCTGATCACCGGCGCGGCCGGTTTCATCGCATCCCACGTCGCCAACAGGCTCATCCGAACCTACCCCGATTACAAAATCGTCGTCCTCGACAAGCTCGATTACTGCTCCAACCTCAAAAACCTAAACCCGTCCAAAAACTCGCCCAATTTCAAATTCGTGAAAGGCGACATCGCGAGCGCCGATCTCGTCAACTACCTCCTCATCACCGAAGGCATCGACACCATCATGCACTTCGCCGCCCAGACTCACGTCGACAACTCCTTCGGCAACAGCTTCGAGTTCACCAAGAACAACATCTACGGCACGCACGTCCTCCTCGAGGCCTGTAAAGTCACCGGACAGATCAGAAGGTTTATCCACGTGAGCACCGACGAAGTCTACGGCGAAACAGACGAGGACGCGCTCGTTGGTAACCACGAAGCCTCTCAGCTTCTCCCGACGAATCCTTACTCCGCGACGAAAGCTGGCGCTGAGATGCTTGTGATGGCTTACGGTAGATCTTACGGCTTGCCTGTGATCACAACTCGTGGGAACAACGTCTATGGACCGAATCAGTTCCCTGAGAAGCTGATTCCGAAGTTTATCTTGCTTGCGATGAGAGGGAAAGAGCTTCCGATTCATGGAGATGGATCAAATGTCAGAAGCTATCTCTACTGTGAAGACGTTGCTGAGGCGTTTGAGGTGATTCTTCATAAAGGAGAAGTTGGTCATGTTTACAATATTGGGACGAAGAAGGAGAGGAGAGTGAACGATGTTGCGAGAGACGTTTGCAACCTCTTTAACATAGATCCTGAGGCGAGCATTAAGTTTGTTGAGAACAGACCTTTTAACGATCAAAGGTACTTCCTTGACGACGAGAAGCTCAAGAAGCTGGGTTGGTCTGAGAGGACTACATGGGAGGAAGGGTTGAAGAAGACTATGGAGTGGTACACTGAGAATCCAGAGTGGTGGGGTGATGTCTCTGGAGCGTTGCTTCCTCATCCGAGGATGCTGATGATGCCTGGTGGGAGACACTTTGATGGATCCGAGGAGAATGCTCAGGCGGCGGCGGCTTCGTTATCTGAGAATCAAAGTCAGAACCATATGGTGGTTCCAAGCCCGAGGAGCAACGGTGTGCAGAAGCCTTCTCTGAAGTTCTTGATTTACGGAAAGACTGGATGGATTGGTGGTTTGCTTGGGAAGCTGTGTGAGAAGCAAGGGATTGCTTACGAGTATGGGAAAGGAAGGTTGGAGGATCGAGCTTCTCTGTTGCAGGATATGGCGAGTGTTAAGCCAACGCATGTTTTCAACTCCGCTGGTGTCACTGGGAGGCCTAATGTTGACTGGTGCGAGTCTCACAAGACGGAGACTATCCGTGCCAATGTAGCTGGAACCTTGACTCTTGCTGATGTTTGTAGAGAGCATGGGCTCTTGATGATGAACTTCGCTACTGGTTGTATCTTTGAGTATGATGAGAAGCATACTGAAGGCTCAGGGATTGGTTTCAAGGAAGAAGACACACCAAACTTCACTGGCTCTTTCTACTCTAAAACCAAAGCTATGGTGAGTGGTGACTAATTCTTGCTTTTGACAAAGATTAAACACCTAATTACGTGTGCTAATGATTTTGTTTGCTTGAAGGTGGAGGAGCTGCTAAAGGAGTTTGACAATGTGTGTACATTGAGGGTGAGGATGCCGATATCGTCTGACCTAAGCAACCCGAGGAACTTCATCACCAAGATCTCAAGGTACAACAAAGTGGTGAACATTCCAAACAGCATGACTGTGCTGGACGAGCTTTTACCGATCTCCATCGAGATGGCGAAGAGAGACTTGAGAGGGATATGGAACTTCACGAACCCTGGTGTGGTGAGTCACAACGAGATCTTGGAGATGTACAGAGACTACATCAACCCTGAGTTCAAATGGGCAAACTTCAACCTAGAGGAGCAAGCTAAAGTCATTGTGGCTCCGAGAAGCAACAACGAGATGGATGCTTCTAAGCTCAAGAAAGAGTTCCCTGAGCTTCTCTCCATCAAGGAGTCTTTGATCAAGTATGCGTTTGAGCCAAACAAGACAACCTGAAGAAAGAGAGAAGTTTTGTGATTCTTAATTAATCACCAATATTATTTATCAGTTTCGTTTATTGTTCTTGTGATTGCTTTTTTGATTACCCCGTTAAACTCTTTCACTAGACTTGCTTGGGGGTTGTAGTTTGATTATTCCATATAATATGAGCAGTTTGATATATCACGTCTTGTTTCATTCATCACTTGGCTCTACTCTTATTGTATTAGAATGAAACCACTAAAAGAGTTTTGGTAATGGTTACAAAGCAATTATTTATTGTGTTACAAGAACTCATTCTAAGATGAGGACGGTGATGAGTTAAGAACCGAAGGTGAGAACGGTGAGGAAGAGGAGGAGTTAGGCAGCGACGTGTCGGCGAGTTTCTCGAGGAAGCAGACGACGTCGTCAGGAGAGCCAAGGAGATATCTAGCGTTGGTGCGAGTACGACCGACCGCACAAGAGAAGTAGTTCTCTCCTTTGAGGTCAAGCACGTTCCATGAGATCTTCTCTGGTGAAGGACGTCTTGATGAGTTTCCTAAGCTATGGTTTGATCCGCTTTTTCTCTCTGTTGCTTGCAGAGATCTCTGTGAGGCCTTGTTGTTGTTAGAGTTAGAGGATGATGATTTTGATCCGCTTTTGTTGTTGTTGTTGTGTGTTGACTTTGAAGGTGGTCTTCTGTCTCCTGATGATGACTTGGCATTACCACCACCACCACCATCAGATGATGATCTGGACCGTGAAATGGCTGGTGCGTCGGATGGGAGTTCCGGTTCGAAGAAAGTGTAAACATCTTCGTCCTGTGAATGTAAACAAACATATTTGTATCAAAAGTCCTAAAAAAAAAAAAAAAAAAAAAAAAAAAAAAAAAAAAGTCCTCAAGACTCTAGACATCATATTATAAGAAAAGCTTTTAATCACCTTCCCCAAGAAATGGCCAATGCACAAGACGTAATCGATAGGTGTGGTCATTGACTTGCTATGCACTATCTCTCCTAGAATGCGATCGATTGCAGCTCCCTGAGAAAGAAAAAAAGGTGTAAGAATCAAGAATGTGTCTCTGATGATAGAGAGCAGAGAGATTTTTGTGTTTGTTTGTTGTTTACCTTAGTGACACCAACGGCACGGACTTCGACAGAGCGGCTTCCTTGGACAACATCAACAGATGCATTAGAGATTGGACCTGTCCATAAGTGTTGTAACAAGTCTCTTGCTTGAAGCCTCCCAAATTCGATATCTACATGAAGATTTGAGATTAGTAAGTGTCTGTCTCAGGGTGGTCAAGAAAACAGAGGAAAAAACAGAGAAGTAAAGAGTACCAGCATATTTGTAGTTCCATATGAGCGAAGTGTCACGTGTTTCAAAGTGTGACCTTGGTGTCCTCTCAGTGAAGTACTTGAAAACATGCTGCAAAAACATAAAACAAGATTTCAGAAGAAGGCAAGAGCAGTGAAGAAAGTAAAAACTGAGTTTGTCTACTTTATTACCTTGACGCTATCAACCCATTCCATGTTCAAGTGTTCAGGCATTGTAGTCATCCAATCTCCATTAGTAAGCCTTAGGAACATCCCATTCTCTGCGGCTAACCACATATCATACTCTCCAAAGTTCTGATTTTTAATTCAAAACCAAGTCAGTAACCAAAGTGTTTATGATTGACAAGGAAAGGAAATAACACATACTTTGTCCAAAACGCTTCTGCTGCTTCCGCTCAGAACAACTATGGTTGTACTTGGATCACTGCATAATGCCTTCAACGGTCCTTTAAGCTCAGGGTGTAGGTTAAGATCCATCTCCTTTATTTGATCACCTCTTCTCCCTTGATTATCCACTGGCTCAGTCAGTGTTGCATTGAAACCCTGAACGTTTTTTACAGTTACAAATGGATTGAAGCATAACTTTCAAGAACTTAACAAATTCTTGATTTCTTAAAAAGTTGATGCCAAGAACCACTAACCAGGATCAGTAGCCTGTTGTTGGACTTCGAATACCGTCGAATCGCATCATCCTGTGGAAGCTCAGGTGGGACTTTGCTAATTCGTAGTTGGGCCTCAATTACGGTATCGTTTAGTTCACTACAGATTTGTCAAGCGTTGCATTTCAATAGCTTGCAAAGATCATCTCATTAAAAGCAAAAGTTTTAGATATGGTTATGTATATCATTTGGCATACCTGACGAAAGTTTCAGCCCATTCTTGTGCAGTGTGAGTTTTAACATGATGGAAGTTATGGCGATGTCTTTTCTCTCTTTCTTCAGGTGACATGTTTAAGGCCTGTCCAATGGAGTTGGCAACTTCTGTAATGTTCCAAGGATTCACAAGAATAGCTCCAGCACCCAGTGACTGTGCGGCTCCTGCAAACTGTGTAACAATAACAACTTATAAACAACTTTGATAGAACACACACATAAATCTCTGCATAGTAGTGCAAGGTTCTTACTTCACTGAGAATGAGGACACCCTTTTTAGCCTCTTGACAAGCAACAAACTCGTAACTCACAAGGTTCATACCATCCCTCAAAGATGTGACAAGTGCAACATCTGAAGAAAGAAAATCATCAGATGCCAGAAAGGAAACATATTTCATACCAATTTTAACCATATCATAGACGGTCAGACGATTGATTTACCTGTGACGGCATAAAGTGCACATAAAGCATAAAAGTCCAGAGAACGATCCTGACAGAGGAATGAGGATTTTACCAGCATTTTCAAACTATGTAGCATGGTGCAGATAATCTTTTCTCTCATGGCCAAGAATGGAGATGGAGAAGAAAACAAAAACATACCAGGTGATGTATTGGAACAGAAGTCAGTGACCCAAAACGCCCATTAATGCGGCCAACGATTTCATGAACTTGGCTTGTGAGTTTTTGATCTGTAAGAGCAGAGATTGTGTTATGAAAACCATTTTAACGAGAGAAAATGCAACAACAACAACAAAAGGCCTACATACATTCAGGGACGTCTGTTCTTGTTGGCACAGCAATTTGCAATAACACAACTTTATCACGCCACTGTGCGTTTTCCTCTAGAAACTTCTCAAACGCAAGAATCTTTTGTGGAATCCCTTTGATCATATCAAGCCTATCAACACCTAACATCACCTGTCCATTAAAAAAACAAAAATCAGTGAAGAGAAAGAATAAACACCTCAGGAGAGCTTTTCAACAGAGATTCTATTTACCTTTCTGCCAGCAAATCTTTCTTTCAGTTCCTTCATGTGTTGTATTACGTCATTAGCCTCAAGTGCTCTTATAAACCTCTCAGAATCTATACCAATCGGAAACTGAAATCCAAACCAAAAACAAGACAATGTATTATGAGTTATTTTGTCACACAAGTGTGAATAATGTGAGAGATGAAGTGATGAAAATGGTCATACAGCAGCTACTCGAGTGAGCCTGCCTTGATCCTCAACTCCCTCAGGTGTTCCTTCAAGTCCAAGAATACGAGTGCACGCACTCACAAAGTGCCTTGCATAGTCATACGTATGGAAACTGAAAAGCAAACAATACAAGATTTAGATTAAACCAATCAAATTGTATAACACAAAGTAGAGATGAGCCTTTACCCAACTAAATCAGCAGCAAGAACAGAGCGAAGCAGCTCTGACCGTGACGGAAGTGTCCTGTGTATCTCAGAGGAAGGGAATGGTGTGTGGAGAAACCATCCAACTTTCATCTTACTGTTGTATTCCTTTAAGCATTTAGGAAGAAACATGAGATGATAATCATGGCACCACACCACATCTCCTTCTTCATAGTGCTCGTTTACAACATCAGCGAACATTTGGTTTGCTTTCTTGTACGCAGCAAACTGTGACTGGAAGCTTCTTGTTGTGGCGAGCCGATCCTCTTGCGGCAGTCCAAGGTAATGGAACAGAGGCCACAAAATGTTGTTGCAGTAACCATTGTAGTACTGATGAACAATCTCTTCATCAAGAAACACAGGGATACACCTCTGCAAGATCAAGAAAATGACAATTCATCAAGATTCCAAAAGAAAACACAAGATCATTCTCATTGGCAGTAACATCATTAGGATTAAGAGAAACTCTGTACCTTCTCAGCCAAAGCTTTGGTTAGTGCCTTTTGCCCAACCTCATCAGGCACATTGACTCCAGCCCATCCAATCCATCTGGCCTCAAACTCCTTTACACCTTCAAATGCAAAACGTCACAGTTTTATATCAAATGGACTACTAAGGCCTTCTTTCATGTTTGTTCAAGAATGCTGCCAAAACCAAGATATTTGAGATAACGAAACCTTACCTAAGAGAGCACTAACAAGACCACCAGCACTGATCTCTAGAGACCAAGAATCTTCACCTCTTCTCACAGCAGAAACAGGGAGCCTGTTAGCCACAACAAGGAGGCGTTGCCTGTTATAAGGCCTTGCTTCTTGCCTGTCGCAAGCATCATCGTGAGCCATAGCAGCAGCAGCTCCTTCCAAGTACTGCTCAACATATTGCTGCCTCGAACTGTCCCCTTCTAATCGCAGGTCGTTCTCGGAGTTTTCAGAGCTGCCAGCAACATCGTTGGGATTACGAGCCCTGTTGGTTTTCCTCTTCTCTCTAAGCTCTCTATCTCTCAAGAGCCGTTCTGTTCTAGAGAGAGGGATGTGAGAGGAACTGATGTTGTACTTGTTTCCAGGCATATGATCACACGGAAACAGAACCAGAAGCTCAGTTTCTTCAAGTTATGCTGTGTCCGGAAAACGGCTGTAACCTGCATTTTCGTTGTTGAGAGCAAATCAGGCCACATAGAGAAACCAAGTGTCATCAAAGTAAATACTAAATAGATATATATTTACACAAATAAAGAAGAAAAAAATGAAGAAACTGAAATAAATGTCGTTGTCTATGACCATACACTGATTTCACTTCTGCCGAATGTAAAAGAACCCATCAGGCCAAGCAATAAGCATCTAAAAAGTTATTGGAAAATAAAAAAACAAAACACAAGATAGTGTCAAAACACTAAAAAGACGATAACAAAGAGAATAAGATCCACAGGAT